CATGTATGACTCCTACCTATCACTTATACTACCAGGACAGAGAACACAATTACCCTATTCATCGCAAAACTCCTTGTGCTATTCTACCGATACAAAAGTCAACTGATCACAGCGGAACACAGAAACTTCTAAGTACTTCCACCATTCGTGATACTCTTACAGTGATTATACCCTTCATAGCACCAACAATCTGTCGAAAAACGAAAAATTCCATACGATAAAATAGTTTTCCATATTTTTATAAACTACAAAGTACAAAAAGCAATTCTTCCTGGACGATTCCTGAAACAACATCCATATTTAATGAGCTATTTTTTGCAGTGCAAAAGTAAGCTGCCCAATAAGAAATGACTCATGTGTGATTTATGAGAGGAAATCCGCTGCCCACCCAAGAATTGTGTATTAATGTTAATATTTATTGTAAGCATCAAGCACAGAAGTTTGCCAGTTTTTTTTTACCTAATAAACTACAGATTTCCATGCCTTAACAAACAAACAAAAAATGATTTTGAGAAAGCAATGGATTAAGTCCGAACATTTCTCTTGGTGTGAAAAATGTTCAAGTTTCAATTGTTCGACGAGGAGACTAAACACAACCTCATTTTTTTCATGACACTTTTGATTTTAAATGGTCCCTTTATACATGTATGGTGCCGGTGCACACCTAATTGTGTCGTCCTTCGTAACGGTTTACCACCTCGTAGCTGTAACGTGCTCTTGGGTGTCGGGTAGCAATGTACAGCGAGGGATTTATCACCACGGCAGAGTCTCCCAAGCTGAGGAGCCCGGCGTTTCCATCAGGACGCCAAATGGCAAATCCCCTTCTGATCTACAAGGGTAGTGACTGCCTGTAGCAGTGACGAACTGCGGCAGATTTTGGCCAGGTTGACCTCGGGATTCCGGTGAAACACAGTGGCTAAACCAATAAAACTCCGAAAAGGGGGAAATTATGCTGGGACCCGCACAACCAGTGGTGACGAACCGTCCAAGTATCCAATTATCCAAGTATAATATGACGGTTAATAAGTATAGCGAGAACCGTCACCATCATAAACTTTATGTTGGTCTATTTAGCAAATAAATAAAAAGAAATACTACAAAAAATCAGATGGAGCAATTTATTACATTAAGGTATCATATTCGCCCATCAGGAACATCTCAACTAATTCTACAACGGAGTTTTGGATGAATTCCGAGCATGACCATGCTGGCACTGGCAACAGGAAAACCTCTAGTGGAATCAGTGGAACGACAATATCCACGAACAAAGTACATTTTTCTCATTATTTCTCAAAAATTTGTTACACTAAGAATATCACTTCACAAACTGGTAAAAACTAGTTAGACTCAAGAGCAGAAATGTTGCTTGTTAGCAAGAAGCTTCGCTTGTTCAATTAATGAGTAACGGGTATGGTGAAATTCTGTGGTCGATCAACGACACAAATTACTTACTTGGATACTTGGATAGCCCATCCTCACTGGTTGTGTGGAACCCAGCATAATGTTTTTTAGGAGTTCTGCTGGTTAAGCCGTTGTGGTTCTCCGGTGCCCCGAGGTCAGCCAGAGCAAGGTCTGCCCCAGGTCGTCACCACCACAGGCCGTCGCCGCTCTTGTGAATCAGAGGGAGATTTACCACCATGCAACTAGTTTGGTAGCAGGACGGTGGAGGATGATGGTATTGACTACTCTTAGCTAGGCTTCCTGATAGAAACGCCAGAGTCGTTTTCAGCTTGGGAGACCTTGTCAAGGAGATAAATCTCCTTGCTGTACATCGCAGTTCGACACTCAGGAACACCCAGCCACGATGAGGCGGTAAACCACTGGGAGTATGATACAAATTATATCAAAAAAATTCGACTTAACAGTTCAGACATGAATGAGACTATGACCCAAAATGACATAATACATCCAAAACTACTTCACAGAGTGAGAAAGTTCTAAAAACGGAAATACTTTTTTTGAATATTTATATGACCTGTCTTCACGTCTACTGTGCAGATCCCAGCACTTCTCGCATTCGATTTGTTTCCTCGCATCCATCATCCACGAATATCTCCCAACTTGGGCGTGGCTTCGACTACTGCTTGAGGATTTCCATTTCATCTTGAATGCCGAAGAATGCTGGTCGAGTTCAATCTCATTGGAGTCCTTAGATAGCTAGGCGGAGCGTTCCCAAATGGATTGCAGGAAGTGATTTTTTTCCCATACAATTCCGGTATCAATTTCTTGACCGCGAAGGGTGGAGAGGCTTGGTTGGCCTGGAGCGGAATCGAACTAACATTATGCTCGAGATGACCGACATCGCTACCACTGTGCTATCCGCCATGTTGAACACGGAAATATTGGAAAACACAAATTCAAGGCGTGCATTCCGACGACATACATATTTTCTTCACTTAAAATTCTTTCTGAGGCTTCACTTGGTATTTAATATAAGGCCTCTCTGATCTCATCGCTCATTCATACAATTGCAGAAGAAAGACTCCAAATCATGTTCACTGCTTGCCAAATGGTAATCGCATTAGCTAGACGTTTTACAAATACGATCCACAACGCACATTCCTCCCGCTAAATGCAACGCCAGGATGGAGACTGGAAAGATGATGATATCGTTCCATACGAGCAAGGCTCTGTGCCGACCCCGCATCTGCCCCACCAAAGCTCATCCCTTCTGGGTTATGAAATTGGCACCAGACTTTTCTGGGATCAACTTACTCCTTCCAATCCACGTGGGAACCCTCTAGTACGGCTGCTCTGGGATTCGAGGAAAACTACGCTTGTCCAACATTGAACGACATTCATAAAGAAGACGGAAATCCTCTAGCAACACCCAAACTCACACGAAAGAGTTCGGATGGCATGCAAGGAATGAAATCGAATACGATATGTGCTGGAATTCTCGCAGTATACGACTCGTGTGAAACAATACAAAATAAAACAAAACAACAGTATAATATTTGAAATAAAACAACAGTATCATATTTAAATACAATTCTACTTGAGTCTAGAAAGTGAAAACCTTCTAATAAAGTTTGTTAATAAGCAGACTTCGACAAGTCCCTTCACTACCTCATCACTTCCTCGGAGCTGTACACGGATGGGTGGTTTATTAAACTCCAAAGCAAAGGAGGTATACGAAAAATTAACCAATTTTTCGACAGTCAGCTGAATACTCCAATTTTCAGAATAATAAAAAACGAGACGTGAAAGAATCAACATCAACGATGACCATTTAAGACCTTGAACTACTGTAAACACATAAAAGTTTTTGTAAAGGTAAAAGAGTGATTCCATAGTGTATGGTGTTGCAGTAACAAATAAATTTTCTTTGGAATTCTACCCTATATAAGATATGCAAGGGCGCATGTGGCACAGTGGTCGGAGGCACCCTGCAATACACATGGGATCGATCCCTTAACCCCAGACCCACGAAGCCCTCCATCCCTTCGGCGTCTGCAAACTAGCATCAGACTTATCTGGAAGGATAGCAATCCTGACTCGATACATCGGTGGAGCACTGCGAGTCATTGCAAAAGCCATATATGCATTCAATCACCTCCAGCGATACTTAATGAAGCCGAATGCACGGCGCATCCCTCAGAGATTGATCAACGCCTCGAGGTTCATCCTCTTTCTATAAGATATGCAACTAGTTTTCTAATGAACAACAATTTTATTTAAAACATTGTCCAAAAGTGCTAGAAAGAGGTAACGTTACCACAATGCAATATAGACTTTCTGGTGACCTTTGGAGGGCTATTTACGACTAATAAACAAGAACCTTTGAAGGACATAAAGATCCTCGTAATAGCATGCAGTATCACAAGTGACATAACAGTTAAGCAGATGAGTGCAAGATTTTGACTAAAGCACTGAAGGATATGCAGAAAACGCTACAGGGTCTACTTTAGCAAAGTAGTCGTCGATGGATACAAAGCTATTCTGATAGAATTTCAATGACGACTTTGATACTTCTGGCATGCACGTCTGCAAAGTCTTTCATAGTTTCGGCATAATTCTTCACGATCTTCGAAGAAACTACTAGTTTTACCTTGAAAACATCATCTGTGGTAAATATTGTTGGGCGGCATTGAATCGACGGTATATTCAAATCAGTCAAAAGAGTTGGCTTGTGGTTGATCCAATCCTGGTAAAAATACGAACTTAGGTTGAATTTTTATGACTTCTTTATGCATGTTTACCTCAGCATTAAATTTATAACCGCCAAATTTTACATAGTTCTCATAGAAAGTACGTGTGTTTGAAGAAGGACTTAGGCTCCCTATACCATATACTTCCTTTGCGAAAAGCAATCCCGATGCGAGAACTGGATGCTCTGCAAATCGTTCAAAGTGCAACCAATTTCTAAGATGATGAATTTCGAAGCTTACCATTTATGTCTCTTCTCGAACGTGTCATATGTTGGCATGGTTTATCACCAATACTTTTGTTTATCAAACGAACCCACGCTGGTTCGTACTGAACAACTTCATCTTCGAATTGTTCCTCCTCCAGAGTATCATCATCCTCATCATCCGATTCCCCGCTTCGTCCAGCCTTCTTCGTTTTCTCTTTCGAATCCTAAATTTGGAAAAAAAAAAAGAAAGAGAGACACTGAGATTGAAAACATGCACTCAAACAGAATAGCAATCGAATACATTTTTCCACAGCTTTTCTACAGATTTGATAAACTGGCCACTAGCTAGTCCTTCTTGATTGATACCATGCAGGAAAAGGCCATGAGAATCAGCTGTAATCTAAAACGAACTAATGGATATGCTCCGAAAAATTTTTACACCTCTTCATGGTCATGTCAGTCTTACTTAGAAAAATGGAAAACGCTTAATAAATTGATAATGCACTAGCCTGTGTTTTAACCCGATTTTCGAGAGTCGTCATTTCGAAAATTCTGTAGAAATCATGGAAGTCGTCTAGTGACGACAGTTGAAGAGGGACTCGAAGCAAAAGATCATGGCGTCCTAAAACTGCTTATGGAGTGTTTAAATAGGCCGCAGACATGTCTCTAGCGAAAGCCAATTTGCCTCACGGATTTTCGCGTAATCATGTTGCTCTTCTTGTGCTTCACTTCTATCATATTCAGTTGAAATCATCTTCTCAAGATAATCGTCGTCGTACATCCATGCACAATAGTCAGTGGTAACCTTTAGAAAGCATATTACATACGTCATATCACGATGCAGTAATAACACCAATAATAAGAATTATAAATCATGTAAGTTAATTGAAGCCTTACCCGAATATGCGTTGGAAAGTGTAGATAGTAGTCGGTGGTAAGATCCCATAAAGCCTGATTACTACTGATTTGAGGTCTAAACCAGAAGTCTTTTTCAGCCTTTACAAGTGTAACTCATACACCTCATGAAAGATAAAAAGGAAGCTATAAGGATAAAGCTCTCGGCGTTGATGAATCCCTGAGGTATGCGCCAAGCATTCGGCTTCATTAAGCATCGTTTGGAGGTGATTAAATGCCTATCTGGTCTTTACAATGACCTCGGTGGCCTATCGATGTATTATGTCGATGTTGCTATTCTCCCAGACAAGTCTGGTACCAATCTGACGACCTCAGAGGGATGGAAAGCTTGATGAGCCACGGGCGCGGGAATCGTTCCCATTGGGTATTGCAGGGCGCCTCCGACCACTGCACCACACGCGTCCATCTATTCATCTCTTAGTTATTCTACATTGTTTCGAACTGAAATGAAGTTTCTGCTAAGAAAACATGGATTACAAATATTAGATATAGGCAGATGTTATACGCGACATAATGTATTTTTATAATCAACTGGCACACATGCTATAATAAGAAGTTAATTCCTGGCCATTCCAAAATAACTGCAAAGCAGCGTCTGCGATAAAGTGGTTACTAAAACCTACCTGAAAACGCCCAAGAAAAGGTTGATTGCTGCTTGTTTGTCGTAATCACCAAAAGTGTTGCTGTAATAACGAGACAAAGTCTGGATTACGTCTCTACTTCGCTCCTGAAATGTTGGAAATGGGCAAGTATACTATACAAAGTGAGGAAAAACCCAAGTGATACACCTGAAATGCGGAAATCTTCTTGTAGGTTTTTATTGAATGCACAAGCTGACTGCCTGCATATTGCCACGCTAGAGTATTCCCATGGTCGTCGAACATGTCCTCAAAGGCACGACACAGCTAAAAGAAAACACAGAAAAAGCCCAATGTGGCAATATGCCCAGTCTCAGTTATGAGAAATTCCTAACGCGTAAAAGGATCTAATCTAGATTCAACCTATTTACAACAGCCGATTGATGATAACAAAAAAGTTAATAACAAACACAACCTAACAGAAGAAACACTCACTTCGCTTTGCAGTGACAAACATGGGTTGTCAAGAACACCCATGGCATACAACTGACAAGCCAAAGCCACTCGACCTAAAACTCGCTATAAAAGCTGGCAAGACAGAAATTGGTCAACCGAGCAAAGAAACAATCCTATGCCAAATTGAGCAACATTCGTTCGATCCAAACAGTCAACACAATTCGTTCTACTTATTCCTTGCTGAAGAAGAAAGCGCTTGTCTCCAGACAAAAGCGGTTTGAAGTCTGGTAGACTTGGACGGTAGTCTATCGAGCGAGTGTAAGGCATTGGAAAGGACTGAAATCATCCTGATATGACCACAATTCTTCAATTAGAAAGGATACAGTCTGAATAATAATATAGACAACTAGACCAACAACGAAAATGGAACACCTACAATGGTGCTGAGATATCTGTAAAACTCCAGACTGCAGGTGTTTACGGTGGGAAACGAACGCGCTGTTACTCTTTCCAAGGGCCAACGCGTTCACCACCACACCAGGCGTGTCCTTCGTTTCGCCTTTCTCTCAGCTAGTTTTCTGTCTAGCAGTGCCGTGAGCAATCAAAAGCTGGTTGACAGAAAGGCGAAACGAAGGACACGTCTGTGTGGTGGTGAATGCGTTAACCCCCACACCAGACGGTACATTTACCTCAATCAAAAGCTTTCAATGCAATAGTGTATGATAAAAAGGATAAAAGGTAAACCTCTTGGCGCTGATCAATCCTTGAGGTATGCGCCATGCATTCGACTTCATTAACTATCGATGGAGGTAATTGAATATATATCTGGCCTTTACAATAACCCGCGGTGGCCTACCGATGTATCGAACTAGTACAGCTAACCTTCTAGACAAGTCTGGTACCAATCTGCCAAGCCAGGAGGCATGGAAGGCTTGGTGGGCCATGGGCGCGGCGATAGATTCCAGGTGTGTGTCGCAGTGGCGCCTCCAACCACTGCGCCACACGCGCCCTTAGTGTGTGATGGAAAGCATGTTTTGGCTAAACAATGAGTGACGGAGGACTATATATCCACACCGATATATCTTATCAGTGTTAACCCTTTATTTGCTGCCTATTACAATTTTCCAAGGCTGGGTACTATGTGAAATAGAACGATAACGATGCTGAGGTAATCGCAAAACTGCGGACCGCGGATGGCTACGGTGAAGAACGAACGCGCTATTACCCTTTCCGGGGGCTGACGCCACGGCACCGCATGGGTCCTTCGTTTCGTTTGTCTCTCGGCTAGTTTCCCATCGATCAGTGCCATCAGCAATCATACATCAACGGGATTGACTTGGGAGGCCAAATCGGCAACGAACCCAGTTAAGCTAAGGCTGTGGCTGAAATTACAATGTTACCTTTTCATTTGATACTTTTTACTTCGATATTACATTTTATTCGATAGAAAACTAGCTGAGAGACAGGCGAAATTAAGGACCCGCATAGTGTGGCGGTGAACGCGTTAGTCCTCGGAAAGGGTAATAGTTACCTACCGCAGATACCTACGATCCGGAGCACTGCAAATATCTCAGCACCATTGTGGTTGTATCACACGTAATACGCTGCCGTGAAAAATTGTAACAGGCAGTAAGTAAAAAGTTAATACCGAAAATAGAACACTCTATTAATGCTCCCAACAGGAAAAAAAACCTAAACGAGCAAAAATGTGTCTAGTAAAACAAAAAAATCCCAGAACTACCTGAAACCAGCCATGGGCTTGAACAGCTTTGAAGCCTATTTCTTCCATCTTGGTCAAAACATTCGAAGAAACGCTTGACAGTTTGTTGCATCGCGCAACATCAAAGCTCAAATAGCATATATTTTCTGACAGCGGAAGGAACTGATTCAGGTAGTTCACGGCCTTAAAAACCGTATTCTATATCAAATTAATATTAAGAGTAGATGGTTGAAAGGAGACACCTTTAAGAACTGATCGTGCAACAAGCTCTCGTGTCGTCGTTTCTCCCTTCGCTTCACCAGATTCATTACAATTATGGGATTGCCATATTTCGCCCGTAACTCTCTGGAAGGAGAGCATAAAATGAAGTGCAACAGAATTACAAATCACGAAGAAACATGCTGATGTGTCGAGAACGGACCGGAAATGCGCTGCTGCTGTTTGAGCATGTGGTTCGTGAATATCTATACGTATCAGAGGTTTCCCCACGACTCCCCGTGTTGCTGGATCTTGGGACCATCTGTTAACGCAAACATAAAACTTATTCACGATCCGTTACGCTAGAAGGAACAAGATATTGAAACGTGAACACACCTCAGAGGAACGGAACCTCTTCGCTGAACAAATGCAGAGAACCTACCGAAACTGAAATTTGGAGACGAAGACACGTCCCACAGTATCTGCTCGGTTTCAACATCGTTTGCTACGCTTCCTGAAAAATAAGGGATAATCGCAAATATAAAAATAACTTCGCACACATAGTACCTTCTTCATTTGCGCCTCTCTTCAAGAATCTTGTACCCGCGTATTTGGCCGAACGCCGACCAATTAAGGTCAAAGAAAGCTTCGTAACTGGAAGATCAATTAGTTGCTGACCTGAATAGATGTAATTCTGTAAGATAATGGGAGAGAACCACAAGTATTAAAGAAGGTGACAAACCTAGAGAACCATGGACGATTTCCAAGAGCCAATGCTCACTGACTAAATTATTCCGGAGTGGTTCCAGGAGAAAGCTATTCCAGACAAACTTTTGATCGGAAATCAGCTGACGCCTACCATCCTTATCCCAATGGGTAGACATTATGTTCTCTTGCAAGGACCGACTTAGATCATATGTGTATGAAAAGTAGAAATCTGTTGAAAGATCAACCGACTGAAAGAAGTCCAATTAGATCTTTCTTAAAAAGAAAGAGATGTGCAGGATATTTGTCTAGAATGGTTGGAAAGGAAGCAAAGAAAGAGGTAATATAAAACTGTATTTAAAAATGTCTTCCCAACGGTTTACCGCCTCGTCGCGGTGAGGTGTTCCTACGTGTCGAGCTGCGATGTACAGCGCGGAGATTCATCCCACCGGCAGAGTCTCCCAATCTGAGAAGGAATCCGGCGTTTCCATCACGAAGCCCAGCTAATAGTAAACCAATATCAGAATGTACCACCGTCCTGATACCGAACTAATCGCATGGTGGCAAATCCCCTTCTGATCCACAAAGACTGCGACTGCCTGTTGTGGTGAAGACCTGAGGCAAACTTTGGCCTGGTTGACCTCGAGACTCCAGGAAACCACACTGGCTAAACCAGCAAAATTCCGGAAAAATGGAGATTAAGCTGGCGTCCGCACAACTAGTTAAGACGGGCCATCGAAGTATCCAAGTATGTAAGTTTAGAAATGCAATCGAACCTGGAAAAGTTTAACATATCGCTGCTCTTCGCTAGAAGGTGACGATGCATCCACTGCTAGCGAAATCATTGCAACCTCGGCAATCTTGTAAATGTAGTGATAGCCAAGAGTCGCCACAATGTTTGCCTTCGTCACTACCTTGAAAAACATGACTACACATACCCTTGTAACTACTTTAGGAAATGAAGAGACGAAAAACCAACAGTAAATTCATCGTGAAGACCCAACTCATACTATTCTGAGAGTCGAATGACTTACTATTATGTAGTAACCTTCTAGGAACTTCACTACACCGAGCAGTCCAAAGGCGTTACTTATCCTCTCGACAAGACCCTGGGTATCCTTGCGATTTGATCGACCGCTTACTTTAATTCCGGATTGGGAGAGAACTGAAACAGAGCAGAAGTTTTGTCATCAACCATACCTTTCAGAAATACCAAACCCTGACAAAATTCAGCTATCGCTGCCTCGTACATACTTACCGAAATTGCTTTCAGTAACCGTTGCAAGCAGTTCTAGTATTTCCTCCTTGGTATAGTCACATTCTGGCTCACCGGCGAGTAGCACCTTCGAGTCGATCCTGTCCAGTTTCAGCAATCTGAACCTCATACCAGAGACATCGCATCCGACTATGTAGAATCTATCGATGGTCTCGTAGACGGTCACACGCCGTATACGACCACGCATGTACCAAAGAATCTGCTAAACTATTACAATTAGAACCACTAGAAGTCCGTTTTGGCTCATGCACGGCTCCAGAATCGACAGAGAGACAGACTAGCAACACAGAAACACACGCCACTCCCAGATTAGGCGAAACAAAAGGAACGAGTTGTCCCAAGCAGTGCAAACTTTTCGCCGTGGGTCGCGCGCTGGCTTGCCACAACGCTGACCGTTGCGGGCGATTGACGTCCGTAATGTTCTCTGGTTGGTTTGAATTAGTTCCAAGTTAGTTTTCCACCCCGGTACTATTAAAACATTCGCAACCACATGTACTGATTTAGGCATCCACCTCTTCAGCGGTTCACAGAGGGAGGTCGTTTACTGCACTTCTTGTATCTTTAGATGTATTGTCTAACCTAGGCGCGCGTGTGGCGCAGTGGTTGGAGGCGCCACCGCGACACGCACGTGGAATCGATCCCCGCACCCATGGCCCACCAAGCCCTCTATCCGTCCAGGGTCGGCGAATTGTACTTGTCTGGGAGGATAGCAGCACTGGCACGATACATCGGTAGACCACCGCGGGTCATTGTAAAGGTCAAATATGCATTCAGCCACCTCCAACGATACTTAATGAAGTCGAATGCATGATGCATTTCCAAGGGACTGATCAACGCCGAGAGCTTAATCCTTTTATCGTTTTTATTTAAAGGACAAACCACCAAAGTTGGCATAGCTGTACATAGCCGGAAATGCTTATAAACTAGCACACGGACTTCCAAACACTATAAAGATATGCAGAAAATCAAATCAGGATCTACGACATTGGAGAAAGACAAAAGAGTTTATGCTTTCGGCAAGAGTCACGGATTGTTTTTAACCGGTGGTTGCTTGTCCGGGGTCTTCACTTCTGGACTTTGCGCTTTTTCGGCCGTTTTCTAAAGCAAGAGAGATTTCGTCTCGATGTACGAGCGACAGTCAAGAACAGAAAGTACAGCTACCTTACTAGGATAAGAAACCTTGTAGGAAAACGAAACGCAAAAAATTAGAAGTGACCGAATATCGCAATTTTAAACCCTTCTTGAAACCACTTGTGGATCAAATTTACAAAATAATTGACTGATAACACGATACTTTTCGATTCTTCCTCATCACCATGAGCTAAAATTCGCCTAAGCGTGATGCTTACACCATCATTTTAACAGAAATTGCCTTAAACGAAGTCATTCTCAATTCCAACTTGTCAGTGGAATACAAGAATCTCTGTAGGACAATTTTCTGGCAAAAAAAATTGTTTTGCAAAACTAATCACTCTCTACTAGCTGAGCCGTTTTAGAGAAGTAGAGATATCCTCGAATTTTTTGTTTTATAGGAATCCTTAGTCTTTGAGCAACTTTACTTCTGCTAATGTAAACCACCATAGAAGGTTTTCAATAAACTATTAGTGGCTACTCCTAGATGCTGCACTAGTTGAGACAGAGATATCATTACCGGCTGCGTAGCTGTAGGCAGAGCTGCTGTTGGAGCCGAAGGTGATGGAGGAGGAGTCTTCGTGTTGCTGAGACCAGCTGCCGTGATTTCTGTTGTTGCGTTGCTCGCAGTGCCAGTGGGCAAGTTCGTTGAATTCTATAGAAATATAACACAATATTGTACGCCTACGACAAAGAACTTCGTCGAAAACTAGATATTGTTGCACAGAGGATTTTGGCGATACGGTTTTCAAAGGAGACTTATATCAAACTCTCAAAGAATGAACAATGAGCAAAGAAGTCTCTTCCAGATACTTACTGAAATGTTTTGTAATACGATGGTCGTCAACGTAAATCAGCAAGTCACCTGTATCACCCCTATTTGAACGTGCTACCCTAAGATCTCTAGTTGTCTCTCTTGCCTATTTAAATAGTCCAGTTAGTCTTCCTCAAAGGATTGAAACACCATCACATTTTCTCCCTGAAATTTTCTAAAGCATTATGAGCACCGGGTAGACGGTCTTTCCGTCATGTGCTTCATGTGCCACGAAATGAGTCACTAATGGCTCATGTCAACCCGTTGTTTTCAAGACGCATCATGTGTCACGTACGTCACGTGTCCTCTCTAACGGACTTTCGACATTTTAGCATATGTGTAGCGGTTTTGACTTTTAATCTAAGTCTGTTTTACCTTCTATTGTACGGCGGAACTTTGAATCTCCTCCCTTACTCATATCAAGTAGGATAAGACTAGTACTACATGCTTGAGAATGTCCATTGATATGTTCTGTCTATGTGCAGGTTTTCAAGACCCAGATTTAAGCAGGAGGAACCGTTCTTCGAGATGGTGGCCATGGAGTTTGGTGTCCTTTGCCTTCTTAACCATACCCTCAATACGCTTTTAAGCGTATCAAGTAGTCCGTTTCCTCCTTGGAGCTATTGTTAATCATGTTGACTTATTGATTTAGATACAAAGAATTATTGGGAAATATTTGTTCTGTCGAGCGTGAATGTAACATCAAACGAATCCGTTCCTCAAAATATCGTTTCCGTGGGGTTCAACTGAAGGTCGACCTTCCGAAAAGTGCTATCCATGAAAAGTGCGATTAACGTTCGATCTGCCCTAACTATCTATCTAGATCTACTATTTGTGGTTATGTCATAAATGAAGCGTAGATAGCGTATCCGTGAGTCGCCCAATTCTACTACCTTCAAGTTACCTCATTCCAGTTGTGGCATGACGATGTGAGGAGCAGCTGTAACCAATTTTAACGAGATAGTGTCACCTTTTCAAACTCCTCTCTTAATGCTGATGGTTATTTCGCTGTTTAGTGGTGAAATTTTGACTATAAAGTTGCTATGAAGCTCTTATGAGCCATAATTATTTATCTATAGCCATAATTCTAAGAGTAAACCAATACCAAGATCCACCATCGTTCCGGTTTCAAATTAGTCGCATGGTGGCAAGTCTCCTGACCCACAAGGGCTGCGACTGCCCGTGGCGGTGAAGACCTGGGGCAGACTTCGGCCAGGCTGACCTCGGGAATCCAGGGAAACACAGTGCCTAAACCAGCAAAACTCCTAAAATGGAGAATATGCTGGGGCCTGCACAACCAATGAAGACGAGCCATCTAAGTATCCAGGTAAGTAAGTAGTTATTTTTCTTCATGTATTGAGCAAAGACGCCCTGACTCTTCAGAGCTTCCAAGGCCCATTAGTCGAAGACGTTTTTTAAGTACGGTGAGAAAAAGTGACGTCTGGAACATTTGTGAATTTCTAATGAGCTTCGTAACCGTTTCAATAAGGTTGATCATAATGAACTTTTCGCGGCAAGCTGTACCATCTCACAACTGCCAAAAGTATAGGCAATACCAACACCAACAACTACAACAACAACGACAACAAAGACCTATACCAACCTCACACTGGCTCAACAAGATCAGTTTATAAGATCATATGAATAGATATCAACTACTTATGCCGAGGTTTATAAAAAATCGGGCTTTTGAATTTCTAAGCATTATCATGAAGATGCCAGATAGGCCGGTCCTACACCTCAGCGGAATTACCGACAACCATACCATCCCAAAATACGATGGAAGAAGCGGAGACGTATGTCAGTTCGACACACCAGTGACTAAGAGTCCATTCCTAAACTAACATGCTTATCAGAATAAAATGGCCATTAGCTGGCGCCTAGAAGCCAGTTGGGGGCTCTACGCGACGAAGCGCCTGAGGGTTCCTTAGGGAGCAAAGTCCGTGGAAATCAAGGATTAATCGAAATAGAGTGCTGTAAACCAAGGTAAGCGTAATTTAAGATGTAGACCGAGATCAACTCACTGCAGTGGAGGTTTTTGCTTCCACACTGCTTGCTGTGGTACACGACGTTGTGTTACTGTCCATCGAAACAGACTTCTCGCTGCCTTTCGACATATTCTGATCCTTCAAATATTTCCAACTTCTCAAAGAAATACTGGTTTCTTGTATGTATATTCCTTCTCATTGTTTCCATTATTGCTGTACTATATTGATCTTGGTATAACCTCTGGAATAGAGAAAAAGAGAGTACGAGAATAAATGACGTGGTTCGAAGTTACTTCGGAGGTCTAGGAAGCTATTATTTGTCTAAGTCAGGATTTTGTAGTAAAATCAGATTGTAAATTTACGTGGAAAAATTCAAAATTTGCCATTCAAAATCAATCAGTCATAAATCAATCCCGTTGACAGGTGATTTCTAAAACCACCCATAAGTTAAAAAGGACTGACAAAAGGGCGAAATGAAGGAACTGCATGGTGTGGTTCTGAGTGTGTTACTCCCCGGAAGGGACAATAACGCGTTCGTTCCCGACCGCAGACACCTGCGGTCCGGTGTTTTGTAAATATCTCAGTATTATTGTGGTTATAATTAACATCATAACCCGCCATGAAAAAGAATAGAGAACAGCTAGAAAGTGTCTACATTAGCCGTTAATGTCTACACGGCTCATATGACACTGTGAAAGACGTTGAATAAGCACTGTAATAGTAGCAAACTGGTGACAGTGATACAAACATGCAGTTACCCTAACCTCTTTTAAATTCTTTCCTAGAAACTCGACTAGCGACACCGGGCCTCATATCTAGCCCACACTTGCTTCACTAATATTGCTATTGTTAATTGAAAACACTAACTTTGAACTACTACTATTTAATTTTGTTCCACTTTGTTTTCATTTCTCGTTTCGTATTACCCAGCAATGGATATTGTGGGGATCACGTTTCTTTCGTGCGACTCGTTTCCTCGCAAAAGTCATCGACAAAGGTCTTCAGATTTTGCGTGAACGTTCGGCTGCTGCTGTAGAATTCGCACTCTTTTTAACGAATGATCCTCAGTGCTAGTCCATTAGTTCATTAAACCTGGAATCCCGTAACAGCTGTGCTAGGGCGTCGACAGGTCTTGAATCACTACCACCGTGTTACCCACGCGCCAGTTTATTCCACTACTACTGGTTATTCCCTCACTGCTTTACAGGACAACTTTCAGGGGCACGGGAAATTCAGAGGCTAGAGAAGCTGGAGATTACAAACATGCTTATTCGTTGAACACAACCCGGAAGAACCAAGCTTCACTTCGTCACGGAGTTGGTAGACTGACACCAGATTTACCTGCAAATGTTCCAGAATGCTCTGGTGAAGCTATCCCGGTATTCCAAGTTCATACAGGATACGACAAACCTCAAGTAACAGCCGAAAACACACGCAAATCAGGTCTACGTGGATTACAGAAGTAATACAACTAACTGAATGAGAAAATTGCTAAGATCCACACAATATATGACATCAAACCTTACAAATTCAATTTTAAAAGATAATTTTAGAATTTCCTGGGTTTTCCTGCATAACGGAAGTCCCATTTTAACTACTTTTCTCACAACATTGAATTGAAGTAATAAACATAGAGTTAACTGTGGAATACTCAGCCTCACTCAGGCAATTACAATGTGAATAAGCAGAATCCACTTCAGAGTTACATAACCCGAAAGCGTCACGGGTTTAACAGTAAAGCAGAAGCATCACTAGGTGACTTCTGGAAACTTCACTCACAGGACTCTGAAGCGTTGTCAAGAAGTTACGAAGCTCATTCGCGAGACGAGTAGCTTCGTTTTTCGAATTTCCGAGCGGAATTATTGATAGCGTCATGTTCTCCAAAGTTTTTATCGCACGATCAAGCACAGCCTTAAATTCTGTTAAAACGGCCACAGAAAGAAATGCTCGTTTTCACGACCCCACTTTATTAAGTAGTTAAAACAATCGATTTCCTATGAAGGATTATGTTATACATCTTCTATTCACTGCCCTACTTTTCAATAGCGCCAAATCCATCTATCTTTAATTAACTCCGGTTAAATAATATTTAACAAGGGCAGCTAAGGTATTCCTTCCTTCAATTCATCTAAATGCTATCATCTAAAAGGATACTATGTAGAACAACATACATTGTAATTGCTGTAACTGGAATCAGACATCTTTCCTTCTTCTGTGAACCTGAAAATATGAGATACAATGTTGCAAGCTGGACGTTTTACTGTCCGATTATTAGATGGACAGTCTCAACCCGATAAATGTAGAATGTTATTTGGAGTTCGAATTCATATGAGTGGAATTTTCGGATTTCTGAGTGACACACAGGAAAACTTGCCATGATCCTTGATGACTAGCTCGACATCGTCATCAATGTGAAACGATCTCTTGAAATCAGTTGTAGATGCTTAGACATTATTTTCATCGGTAGTGCTTGATTATTTTGCTTAGAAATTCTCTATAGGACCGTGAACTGCTGGTTTATTTTAAACCTGATATTGATTTCAACTCCTATTCTTGAGATAGCTTATGTTTCTTCCAAATTTTCATCATTTTTTTAAATCAATGAGCATCCAGTAGGACAAGCAAGGGACCTACTTTAAAGGATTTGAATCCATTTCCACTGTCGGACTATCCTTCTTTGATGGCTCACTCCATAACTCTGTCAAACAAGCGATCCGTTTATTGACCTAAAAACTGTCTTGCAGTAATAGTCTGAAATTTCCTTCTTTGTGCTCAGAAGAAAAAACCGCTTTTGTTCACGTTTAGAGAATATTCATTCCTAACATTTTGAACGATTTCTTGCGCTCTTTCTTGGGCGAGGGCTATCTTCCTCTTTAACGCAGCAATCTGCAATAGCATCATTGAAGAGCCATCTGTTTGATAATGGTACCTTTTCAATTTAAAGCACTTCTAAACACATTACAAAAAGGATGGACAATATTGTATATTGTCGGGAACTTATGTCTAAGATCGAATACCACAAAAGCTACTTAAACGCTAGGATGTCGAAAATTAATAGAATGGCCCAAATGCGTAATTATCACAACAATAACCGGTGGATAAGAGTCGTTAATATTTGAGTTTCAAAGGATAACAATCATAGAGAAACAAGGACGTCGTCCGACAGAGATGTTACGAAGATCTTTAGAGGAAAATATGATTATGGTTCTCTTCGCATCGCTAGAGCCAGCAATCCACCGCGGTACCGTCATATTTGAAAGGGAATGCTGGAGACTTCTGACGCTATTTGGACGGAAGTACAATTGGCACTCGTGATATATAATATAGTAAAGAACTGTACTATATTATATTCGATATTTCCATACGGCACTCCAGCTAATACTAGATTGTTACAAGAACTGTCATCTTCGAAATCTAAAAGTGCATATACTGTATTAAATTACTGCAATTCATTGTGCCCAATTTCCATTTTTTGAGAAGCCTAATTCCAAATTCAGATCAAACGAGAGAGAGAGAGAACTGAGAACCCACCTGTACCAATGCATCTTCCTGCATTAGCAGTTGACGATTAAGAAGACGAATTCTTTCATGGGCCATGTATAACTGATTTTCGTCATCCTCAAATAATTCACATTATTATAACAAAGTTTCTGGACAAAGACTTACGAATAAAACTCGCAGTGCCTCCATACATAGCTCTGATGCTTATAATCATTCGGGTATCGGATCTTTTCCGTCAAGCATACCTCAGACATGATGATGTACGACCGCCTCAAAGCGTAAATGGAAATCAAACAGCTCTAAATCTTATGTAGTGTTGGCTAGATCTAATCAATAATCACTTTTACAGAAACCGAAAGCGGAAACAACTACACGATTAAATCTTGATGGAACAGTTTATAGTAAATTACTTTAGTGATCTATAAAGGAACGGAATGAAACCAGCAAAAAGACAAAAACAGAAAGAGCGCATTCTATCGCCTTGCGATAAAGTAGTCAGTCCAAAATTTTAGAAACACAGCAGAATGACGGCTGAATAAGTGCGAAACTCTTCAAACGCCTCTGAACTCGCGAAATCAGTACCAACCAACACCTTTTCATTAGTTCGGGTACCATCTGTTGCAGTACGACTAGTTAGAAAATGCGTTGTGGTACATCCTGATTTATTCTTTACGAAGATTTTTCTTTTTCGAAAAATATATAGAGTAAACAGTAGGAACCTTCTACAACAGGACTAATCATAAACGTGTGCAGGGGAATTCCTGCATCTATCCGAAGAATAGTTCTTTTATCGCATTGAGTTCTACCCGCTACCAACATAGATCCTTTCAAAGTATTGTGTTGCACCACTTGTGTTCTAGAAGAGTTCGCTTTAAGTATTGGAAATAAAACAATTCTTTCCAGAAGCGAACAATAGGTATGAATTAATAAAGCCTAACCATAGTGGAGGGGCGCGTGGCGCAGTAGTCGGAGGCGCCCCGCAACAGAGACGTGGAATCGATCCCCGCGCCCATGGCCCACCAAACTCTCCATCCCTCTGGGGTCGGCAAATTGGTAACGGACCTGCCTGGGAAGATAGCAGCACTGGCTCGATACATCGGTAGGTCACCGCGAGTCATTGTATTGGCCAGATATGCATGCATTCAATCACCTCCAAACGATGCTTAATGAAGCCGATTGCATGGCGCATCCCTGAGGGATTGATCAACGCCGAGAGCTTTATCCTTTACCATAGTGAAAACATGTGGTGTTAAGAACTCCATCACTTGCACATCACTTGTCCCTCCACATGGTAATAATTAGAAATAAATGGATAATTAAACAAGTGTAAGTAACTGGTTTGTGAAATGCAACAAAAATGATAATGAGATATTAGTTAAAAAAAAAAGGGTAATTAATGGCTCGAAGCTCATCTGAGGTTATCAACTTTGCTCATAATTGAGCATTATTGTTTTTGTATTTCGCACAATATCCTGTCATGAAAGAAATAAGAGGCAGCGAATAAATGAATAAATGCTAAACATTGTAACTGCCATGTATTTTTTTCCATAGACAAGTCAACACGGAGTTCACAAGGAGCTTTATTCGGCTAACATTTCGGCGCCTTCGCCTTCTTCAGAGTTGGATGGCTAGGATTCGATTGTCCACAGTTGCTCGTTTTCCCGATGTTGGTCTCCATGATTACATCCACCCCATTCTTTTATTTGCTATTTTTATTTAATATTTTTATTTACCATCTTAATCACTAATGGGGATTAGACTAACGAAGGATTTATTTGCTAATGGACGTCAAGAATTGAAGGATTTGAAGAACTTCAACGCTACCTCAATGGTTCCTGGATTCTGTACTTCACCTGGTCACCGCCTTCTTCGTGCGAAAATTTGATTCAGCATAAGGTGCGGAAGAACTCCTAACAACGTCCAAGAAAAATAAAACAAGTCGTATATGAGAGGATATTCTCAATAAGGCTCCTTCCTCATATAACTGGCAGATAAATTAATACTCGACCGCGACCACTGTACTAGTCGAACCACTTAAAATTTATGCCAAACTCGCCTCAGTTCCTCAGGCAAGAACTTCGGACAGCAACTTCATTGTTACTAAGAAGCTGCTCGGAAAGAGAAGTACACGAAAGCTTGATCCAACTGCAATAGACCTAATACGGCTTATAATAAATGCTAGCTTTAGAAGATCGTTGTAGGAGGATTTACACTGACGTAAAGCATAAAAAGATAAAGCTCGGAAAGAGAAGTACACAAAGGCCGAGAGGTAATGATCAATTCCTAAGGGATGCGCCATGCATTCAACTTCATTAAGTATTGTTGGAGGTGATTAAATGCATATCTGGCCTTCACAATGACTCGCGGTGGCCTACCGATGTATCGAGCCAGTACTGCTATCCTTCCAGAGATAAGTCTGGTACTAATCTGCCGATCTCGGAAGAGTGGAAGGCTTGGTGCGCCTTGGGTGCGGGAATCAATTCCACGTGTGTGTTGTAGGGCGCCTCCGACCACTGCGCCACAAGCGCCCTGCACTGACATAGGCAGAAAAATTTATTTGAAACAGCTCAAAACGGACCAGTTTAAAGCTTTCCGCTCTATAGTCCCCGTCTCCGACCACGAAATCCAGCTGGTGGAAAATCGCCTGTGGTTCCACCGTCTGAAGCTCGAGTTGTGGTAGCACGCATTAATAAACGCACAGCTCGAGGATCCGATAATATCAGCTCCAATTTCTTTACAGCTGGTAGACACAAATTCATGAACTTCGCCCAACCCATATGACATGTTACCTTCAGAAAGAGAGAATCCCAGACTAGTGGAGTTCCTCGGGCACGGCTATCCTGCTCGAGAAGGATGACAGAAGTGCCGTCCAATTTGCTTGTTGAGTGTATTCTACAAGCTGTTCACGAAGCTTATCCTTTTGTGCATATCGAAGACCTTGGATGAGGATCAACCATTTGAGCAGTTAGGATTTTGACAGTGATTCTGATGCATGGACCACATTCTAACCATGTTACAGGTCACGTCGACTACGAAACTGCCTATGACTGCGCTGTCTTTAAGTTTATACGAAAAATTGTTTGATGGCTTTCCTGAATAACGAATGCAATCCTACCAGCACTCGTCAATCAAGGAGTGGATCCGCCTTACATAAGAATTCGATCTGACTGTTGTCGAATTGCACTATGAATGATACAGCTTTTTCCACCGACTTTTACCTCCATACCCATAAGAAAAGCTATTCAAGGCGACACCATTTCGCCAAAGCTGCCTGCTGCCGCATGAAGTGAATAATGAAACCACTAAGTTGGGACGAAAAGGGTATACGTATTCATGGAAAACTACTGTCAAATCTTCGTTTCGCGGAGCACATCTTCATCTTTTCAGAGTACTAGCGAAGTAGAAGTAGAAGTGGTGCTCAATGAACTCAACGAAGTGAGAAAAAAGATTAGGCTATCATAAATAGGACGAAGACTCAGTTCATGAAGAATTCATGGGGAGTGACTGAACAAATTGAACTGGATGGTTCTCTGATTACAAAGACTACCTCGTACATATGTCTTGGACGTCCAATGAGCATGAAGAACACCATGAAGGAGGAATTAGAGAGAACAAGAAGAGTAACATGGGCCACATTCGCGTCTCTCAGAAAAGCCACACGAAGCGCTCATAACCTCTAGCTGAAATACGCAGTTCAGATTTCCGAAACCTACCTCATTTTCGACATCAAGGAGAATATACATCCATAATGAAACGAAATGCGCCGGTCACATAATTAGAACAGGTGACAGATGGACGAAAGGAACAGTGGAGTGGATTCCAAAAGAATGCGTGAGTCCGCATGGTAGACCACGATGGGAGGACGTGTTCGTAGCTAGCACCAACATCTGCACTCACAGATAGCAATGATCTCAGGATTACGGAGTGGGTTCGCGGACGACACCCTTTTCGAAGCAGACCACCACCATGGATGATCGCGCCGGAGAGAAGCGGATGGAAATTATGCTGAGGCCTACACAATCAGTGAAGATGGGACATCCAGGTGTGCAAGTAAATACTTCATTTACTAATGAGGACAAAAATGAGGCTATAAAGAAGAATTCATATTGGTTAGTCACGCCAAGATAAAATGAAGTGGGTTCTTGAAATCTGATTTAGTTTTTCAAATTTATTTTATACAACCCGTCTTAACGTCTACTGTGCGGATCCCAGCATTTCCCAGATCGGATTCGTTTCCTCGCATCCATCATCCACTAAGATCTTTCAACTTTCACGTGTGGCTTCGACTGCTGCTTGAGGATTTTCATTTCATTTTAATTGTCGTAGAATGCTGGTCGAGTCAATTCTCCCTGGAGCCTTGAGATATCCGGGCTGGATCGTTCCCAGTTGCATTGCAAAAAGTGATATTTTTTTCTCGGAGAAGTCCGTTGAGCCTGGTGCGAGATCGAACCACCACCGTGCTTATGATTATCGGCATCCCTTCTAGTGTGCTAGCCGCTCCTAATTAGTTTTACCCTATCTAATACTTTTATTTAATATTTTGTTTACTAATTAGACTACTACGTCCTTGGTGATTTGACACAAGATTGTCAACAGAGTATCTATTCCATGAATATTGGCGTTTGGCCGTTTTTCGGCTTAAATGTTGGTATGACTTCTTCAGTTCTAAATTCTTTCTATCCAGGTTATTGAGAGATCTGACCGTATGCATGTGATATGACCCTTTCCAAGTTCTTCAGATTTCCCATTCAAGAGGAAAATGTCGGAAAAACATTGAAGGACGCCACAATGGCCTGGCGGATCAAATTCACCTCTGTCCCTCATCATATTTAATCGCACTTGTTATCGAGTCATGAGCCTCAACAAAAAGAAGAATGTTTTCCAGGCTCAAAAAAGCAGAATTTATCCTTGGTAAAGTAAGAAAAGTTGAATCATGTGGACAAAGATTATTGCATCGTAACGGTTTTCATTGCACCTAATGAAGTTCTGAACGAACCTGTACGCGTTAGTTTCTACACAGGCGCCGTTTCAAGCATACAGTAGGTCCGCCAAACCTTCCATCCCTCCGGAGTCGGTAAAGCGCCCTAGCACACCTATCTCAGCATTCGAAGGCTCGACCAGTATTTAACGACAGCCGTAAAGGAGACGGAAAATCCTTAAGCAGTAGCCAAAACCACACGCAGAAATTCTTCGAAGACCTTCGTCGATGGTGGATGCAAGGAAACGATTTGAATGGAAGAAGTGGTATGATCTGTACGATGAGTTATATACGATTCAGTTCATGTAATAATAAAAAAAATTTAATAGGTTATATTTATTGCCATTTCCGAATTTTACGCATTGAAATCAATGTATGTAGTTGAGGATATGTTGAAAACCTCGTATCGACTCATCAGGAACACATGAACTCACTGATCAAGGCAAAGGTCAACTAAAAGTTACTCTGGTGCATCCCGAACTTCGTTAAACGCAACTGCACGAACCAGCTGAGTAGTCTACCACAGAAAGTCCGAGATGACCACATCCAAATTCGACTATTCCAACGATCTCTGCTATGCAAACAAGAATAAATGGTCGTCCAGGAAAAGAAATGTGCCTGGAAGGGAAAGTATTTCCTCAGAATATGTGATATAAACATCTGAGGAAAATACGGTATGGTTAATACTACTTATTTACTTTCTTGAAAGAAGTGACATGTCCACGATACGGGCCAGCACAGCTCCCACTTAACTGACAATTTGCAAGCTGGGCACAATTTCATTTCTTTGGAGTCTCAACATAATCGTGCTGAAGCCCTCTCATGTCATTATCGCTTGTAGTCACCTACTCATGTGGAACGAAGTGCGACTTGCCATCTTACGACTGAGATGCTTCCAGGGCGCCAGCGATCCCTGGACATTGACGTTTACTCTTAGCTGAGTTTCTGAATAGCAATGTCGGACTACCTTCTCGATCTAGGAGATTATAATCCGGGCCGAACCACCCCGACATACTGTACTTCGGGAGCACTTACGAAGGCTTCCTAGCCCAGCCACGGTATGGTCGATCATTGTACGGTGATGTTCAATGTCAAATCTCAAGTATATTCAGTCTAGTTCCAGATCATAATCATAGTGAAAGTTCTAGAATCTGTTAAATAAAGTGCACGACGTCAAATGTTTGAGAACAATACTTCTGAAAAACAGAAATCGAATATTGGGGATTGGAGTCCCACTCGTACCTGAGGAAGGCGAAATCGCCGAAACATCAGCCATCGACCAACAACGACAGCAACGACGACGACAAAAATCGCATAGTTAGACCAAACGGATCAAACTGGACAAAATTGAATAGCTCAGAACTCGACTAAAACGGATCGTTGGATCGGAGATCAATAACTATGAACGTTGGAGAGTTTCTTAATGTTCCAACGAAGTACTTCTTTTCAAAGAATGTCCCCCGTGTTTCTTGTTACAAGAAAGGAAACAACGAATGCTGTTGTATTTACATATTACAACTGTAAAGTTATGCACCATTTTGTTAAACCAAATGAACATCTCCACTACACGGGACCCTTAACAAGGGTGCCGCGTTTCCGTGGACCATTACGAATCGGCGCTGTCCGTGCTCGGCGTGTTTGCGTGCGAGTGTGCAGAAGTGATCCAGTCCCACCTTCGAACTTGCACTTTCACCACCAGTTCCTACCCTCATTGACTTATGGGTTGCCTGTGTCAGCGATTGTGTCTTGTGCTGCTGCAATATTTTACGTAGGGGGTATTGATTATTGCTAGTCAAAAGCAGTGCATAGTGTTTTATCCCATTGACTTAATACCATTGATTTCTAGAAACTTTATTGTTCTAAAGACCGTGAGCTTGTTTTTTGCCAGAAAGACTCTTCGATGTCTTGACTAAGACTTCTGTCACAGTTTTTACTGAATCTTTTAACACAGTGCCTTAGATGAATTCTATTCAATGCAGTCGATGTGAAGGTAGTGGGCTCTTTCAACTTTAAACCCGCATAAATCGGCTTATATCGGACTTTGCCGATTTGAATAAAATCCATTAAAATCTAGAGATCATTGCCTACAAGGTGCAGATCAACTTACCCTACCACAATGAAATGCTGATTTTCTGGAGTTGCTAATGTTGCTGAGACATTTGCAAAATTCCGGATCGCTGGTTTCTGCGGTGGAAACCGAAAGGGAAAGGGTAATAGCGTATTCGGTCCCCACCGCAGACACCAGCGGCCTGGAGTTTTGCAAATATCTCAGCAAACTCACGATTCGCTACCGATTTTCTCGAATCTCATGGTCCTAAAAGTATTTGGCTTTAGAAAGACGATATATAAGAACCATTTATGCGATCATTGCTATAGGGTGAAGCCTTTTCTATAGATCTATAAAGTTCTGGACTCTCGAAGTACTTCGGTGATCGAGAAATTGTCGTGAGTTATCGAGAAACCATCTTCTGATGTTATGCGTTATGCAGGTTGGTGAACTATTTCCGTTAAAGGATTGTAAATTTTCAGATGTTGTCCACTTTGACACCTCGCCTAGTCCTCCAGAAATATCTGACTAGAATAGTCGCTACAAGAAGTGCGTCGAAGAATCTCAAATTAGAGGCACGTTTTCTTTTTAATATGAGATATTTTCGCTATGACTGTCTAAGTGCTCGTTGGAAGCTATGTGCCCGAGGTTGAAGTATTTAGATGTTGCAGATTAGCCCACTTATTTAACACATTAACAATCACGTGACCAAAAATAGGGTCAAGCATGTACAATATTTTGCAGAGGTCTTCTTTATCTCACATTTTTTATTCTGTCAACAGCCTGTCAAACACAGATCCGAAATCAGCAGTAGCTCGTGAAAGGCTGTTGCTACACATAGTAATTCACAAAAAATCTGCCTTGGACTTCTCTTCCTTTTTTCGGCTTCTGCAAAGTCAAAATTGTTCCTCAGTGTGTTGGTGACTCATTTAAATAATTGCGCTTCCAGCGGTGTTAAATGTTTCGATAACCCTGGAAGACATTTGAAAATACCACCAGTAATTTTAGGGAAAACAATCATTCACGGTCGATCCTGCTGAGGGATTTCTTAAATATGATCGTGATATTTCTCGCGACAAACGCTACTCCAATCCTCAGAAACCCGGTGATACGCCAATGCGGTAAGATGTTATTTTATCCTATCGTTTAGCCTAAGGTAATAAAACTTGTTGTAATACCCCCATCTGGAACAATAGTTAATGACCCAAGCCCAGGTTTTACAAAACCTATCGCGTTAGACTAGGTTTACTCTTTTAGCGCCGTCTGAACCATGTGTGATGTATATGATCTGAGACAGTATTGCAGTTATATATCGAGTTTTTAATATCCTTTTGTGCGGTGAATTTTGCACCGCAATTCAGTTTTTTGGATATGTTTCGGTTCAGGATATACTAAAGATATCCTGTTTTCATTTCTATGAATCTATAAGTATGTTTGCTGTTGGTAAGTGCGCTTTGATTTTCTTGATTTGGCTCACATTGGAATAAAAACGTAGAATTTAACTCTATTTTTTAAAACAAACTCCGTATCCCAGTGATTAGGAAAATGCATCTGTTCTGCTCCTACTCACAAGTTATACTGAAGAAGAATTTGATGATACCAGTGTATCCGACGATGAAATCAAAAGTCGTTGAGTGGTCATAGCAACGATTTAATTCAGTGCCTGTGGATATTCAACAGCAGTCACTCTGGGATAGGTTTACGACTTTGGTTTGGATCCACAGAATTAGAGGTACTAGACAGCAAGTCTTCAAATGATATGAGAGCCCCACATTTTCTACCATTCATTGTCTTACAACCATCATCCACTACAATGAGCGATTCGCAGTGGACCGACAAATCGAGGGCGATATACCAAGTCGAACTACACTTCGTTTTTGAGATATGGCTGGTACTTTGGACCTAATAGTGAAAGAGATCCAATCAATAGAAGTCCAGATTTGGGAGATGGTAGCGACTTAAGGGATCGAAAAACTCATCAGGCTTTGCCGTGAAGTGTTTAAATTGTCGTACTGTCACGGTTGAGTACATGGTGCAATTTCAACCCTGATTCTGAATACAATCTTCCTCCATCTTAAGTTATTGAATCAGATCCGAAGAACTTTCGCCATCTCCATTCGACGGATAATAGAAGCTATGAATACCATCTCCCATGGAGCACCCTAGTAGTTGAAACTTACGTCTTTTGCTGTACATAATTATTTTTCAACTATAGCATTTACATTGTTACAAGTAAATGAACTAACTTAAATGATGCTGAGATATTTGCAAAACTCCGGACCGCAGGCGTCTACGGTGCGGAACGAACGCGCTATCGCTATTGAAGTTATATTTCGCAATATACCCTGCCATCAAAAAGAGTAGGGAGTAAATAAAACGGTTAAGCTTCTAAATAAACTAAATTTGCATGCAGGTATGAAGCACAAACCATCTTTGAAAATGTACCCGAAGATGATACTTGATACTTGAATGCCCGTCCTCACTGGTTGTGCGGGCCCTTGCATAATTCCATTTTTCGGAGATTTGCTGGTTAAGGCATTCTGGTTCCCTGGAATCCTGAGGTCAGCCTGGCCAAAGTCTGCCCAGGTCTTCACCACCACAGGCGGTTGCAGTCTTTGTGGATCAAAAGAGGATTTGCTACCATGCGATTATGAATGTGTCGTTTTCTTGTTCAGCAATCGCGAGGTTTTTAAACAGCATACATTTACTTCCATAAAAACACAATACAATACAACGCTAGCTGACGTTTCGGCAGTATCGCCTTCTTCAGAGCCGCTTCATCAAAGCCGAGGCAGTCGTCAACCACATGCGACTATAATCAGCTGTTCTAAACTTCCTCATTGGAAGTCGCAAAAAAGCGGCTCTGAAGAAGGCGATACTGCCGAAACGTCAGCTAGCGTTGTATTGTATTGTGTTTTTATGGAAGTAAATGTATGCTGTTTAAAAATCTCGCGATTGCTGAACAAGAAAACGACACATTCATATTCCAATGCCGAAGTTAAGAGAAAGTCGATCCTGGGAACCATGCGATTAGTTCGGTATCAGGATAGTGGTGGACCCTGATATTGGTTTACTCTTAGCTGGGCTTCCTGATGGAAACGCCGGACCCCTCAGCTTGGGAGACCCTACCGGTAGATGAATCACCCGCTGTACATCGCAGTTCGACAACCAGAAACACCTTCCGGCCACGATGAGGCGGTAAACCATTGGGAGGCGACATCCTCGATTTCAACTCTCACTTTTGGAAATTCTTTTATGTGTTCCAGTAGTAGCACAAATCTTCATGGAACATAAACTTTTCTTTTAACATTAGTCGATTAAAATCCAAGCACTGTGAACTGTCTTCTCAGAATTGGTGACACAATCGCACATTCTTCTTTTTGCGGAAACTATCATCACTTGCAGATTCTTGGTCCGTAAACTACATCATGCGTACGAAGTATACCCAATCCTTTTCCTTGGTGGCGTGTGGTTCGTCCTGTTTTGCTACGTCTCATATTATTCCTTCACTAAAGCGGAAATCTGGATCGACCGTAGTAAGTTCCACATCAAAATAGGTTCATTACGGTTGTATTCTTTTATCCAGAAACCGTCCAGGTTTTAAAAGTTATATTCAACAGCATGTAAGGATTATGAATACTGTGGCAAGCAAGAAATCCTTACTTCAGGCAAAAGTGTAGCACCCTTGGATTGGGAGAGGATCCGTAGTGACTACTGGAAAAAGCCAACGCTTCTGTAGGTCGAAATCACTACTATATTCCGTTCTGAATTAATTAACGACATCTACATCGTAGGTTTGACAAAGAAGGAGTGACGCACACCCGCTTGGAGATTATGGAGAAGCTACAAGATGAAATGCTGGCGGCAGCCAAGGCTCGTGGAACCCGTTAAATCCTTTCAATACGAATAAAATAGTGTTTAGACTAGTTTTTATGAATGAAAGTCGTATCCAGATTATTCATTACGATGGTATAAAGGTTATCGGGAAAACTACTTCGTTTGAAGCTTATTTGCTAATGCCGAATTCGACTGTAAGGAAGTCATCTAAGATTTTAATGGTTGTGTCAGTGAGCTATTGCGTTTTGCGCTATATACATAGATGCAATAATTTAAGTACTAATTTGTATATATAGCTCTCTTTAGCTTATTTTATGACAGTTTCGACCAAAAAAGAGATTTAGAGAGTATTTAAGAGCGTCGAGTTTCTGACAAAATGACGATCAAAACAAAATGAGCATTAAATTTGGTGCAGGGACAGTCGGTTTTCAACTTTGGATGTTAAACACACGAACCTTAACTAGTAGGAGAACATTGCTTTTGAAGTAAAACAAACATTGACATGGAAATGTATGGCGAAGTAAGCTGCGTTGTCAGGTTCGTGTGTCTTAACGAACTCCAATGCTAGAGGGAGGGAGTTAACCCACATCGCATCCGCGTTTTCACTGTTCATTTGTAACGGTTTTCATTTCTAATCTCCGTACTTCTTTTGGTTCATCGACTTACTTGAACAGACTCAAGGATAATACTCCTAGTTGCGCACTGGTAAGCGTTCTTTTCTGGCTCCAAACATACGAGAAGCCTTATACTATTGGTGTTAAACCTCTTGTAACCACTGTTTTTGGCAAATAGACGGCCCTAGCTAGTTTTTAAGTCTATAGTGTGGCATGTAATATAGGCCTACTCATAGCTGTGCTTGTAAAAGGAATTTCCGAGTTCCTTCTCGTCTTGGATTACAAGGAAAACCAATTATAAATTCAGTACCAATGATGAGAACTTCACAGCAGCAAAAATGGGTTAACTACTGGAGCACAATCGCACAGTGATTAAAATGGCTTCTGGTAATTCGGTATTCAATTGAGTGAAAATGGGAAAAACCAAACTGGTGCAATGGAATTGTAGCATTTCTGTGATACTGTGTTACTGCAAAAGTAGTGTGTTAGGAATATATTAGGGTATTGTAACAAAGTATTATTGCAGGAAATTGTCCTAGGTTATCTGGGAGGTAGTTACAATGTTAAAGAAAACGATAAAGCGCTAGGCGTTTATCAATCCCTGAAGGTTGCGCCATACATTTGACTTTGTTAAGCATCGTGTGAAGGTGACTGAATGGATATCTGGCCTTCACAACGACTCACGGTGACCTACCGATGTATCGAGCCGACGATACTATCCTCCCAAACAAGCTTGCTAGCAAAAGTATGTAAAAGTAGAAATGCAAAATACTTCATTGGCACTACGCTAATTTGAAAATCAATGTTGAACTTGTATACATACACGTTCTCTTGTACATAGAGCTTAGACGGCTCTGTTCAATATTCCGTGCACGGTTATTAGTTCGACCTTGTCCCATACCAACCAAGTTTCTTATCGCTCCGATTATGGCAGATTGGTACCACACTCATCTGGGCTAAGCTCCAGCCCATCAACAAAGGAGGGCCATTGCACCGATTAAGAGCTGAAAATCCCTGAACTTCAGGAAGAAGTCTGAGCGGAATCCAAGGACATTCATGACAAAAGCCAAATCTCGAAGCTGCTGAAGCAATATTTAAATCTAAAAACCTTCCGCAACGATGGATGAAGAAGGAACTGGACGAAGTTCAAGCGTTTGCGCAGCATGCGCTTCCGAGATATGAAAGAAAATGGAAAGTACACAAGCCTACTCTAACAACGCGTTTTGGAAAACTCACCACAGACATCCCGCCATTACTGTGTCTAGGGAGGATAACTCTCGTGGCAAACTAGCGACCCTAAGATATGTCATTAAAACGTCCGTATTCGAGCCCAATTACCGGCAGTTACTGAAAAACTCGTACTATCGTCAATAGGTTCAATAACCCTTTCGCTGTTGAATTTGCCCATTCCTTTGTGCACAGACAGAAACCAATCCATAGTTAAGCACACTACCTGGGGCATTATTACCACCATTCAAAATATAACCATGATTTGAAGAACTGTAACTATTTACTATGATACTCCATACCGGTGAAAAATTAAGGAATCACCTAGTCTAGCGTAAATAGAGGACAAATTTATTCGAAATCTAACTCATAAACACGTGCACAACAGAACCAGAAATTTATCAAGTAACAACAACAAATTCACTTCAATGGGATGAAGCGTGAAGAATGGGTAGCTCCAATACCTGGTCTTCCATGTTTCACGGGCTTGTACGTAATAGCGAATTCACCAAGGTAATATCCAATCATCTCAGGCTTGATTTCAGTCTAAAGGAAATGCTATATAATTGCTAGCGGACTATTATTCACCTTTAACTAGATAAGGAACCGTGTACCTGATTGAAAACTTTTCCGTTGTAAATACCGATTACAGATCCGACCATTTCGGGCAAAATTACCATATCACGAAGATGAGTTTTTACAGTAGCTGGTTTCTCAAGTACATTTGCAGCTTTTTTTGCTTTTTGAAGGCGAGAGATCAAATTCAAGTGTTTCCTCTTCAGACCGCGTGCAAGACGTCTGCGCATGCGGCAAGGTAGCATTTTCGCAAACTGCTCACTGCAAATAGATATTCAAATCCTATTACTTGTTAAAATACCACATAAAATACAAGCACACAACTGACCGCTAAGAAGTACCTGAGAGAATTCGTATCATCCTCCAATAAGTCAAAGTCCACTTTGCAAGTGGTGCGGAACAACCAGGATTAACCCAGATGAAAGGATCATTAACAATACAAACGGATAACCCAGAAAAGATGGTTTTCGGCAAACTCTGGTTTATTACAATGAAGAACTTTTGAAGTACACGATGGAAAAAAGCTAGTGGCGGTGGCTGCTTCACTAATAAAAAATTTGTCCACGAACATCAACTCGTAACAACTAGTGCCCCGGATCGAAATCTAAAGACAAAAACCTGACCAAAACAGCTTTTACGGTTTCTCGCCTACTCAACATTCAGCAAAAAGTTACGAAAAGAAATAGAATTGAAGCATTCCACCACATAGAGCTCTACGGAAAGGACACCTTATACAATGTCGTTGTTGGTGACTTAATAACACTAATGTACTCAGCAAAATGTCTGAAGGACTCCACAAAAACTTGGGCCTGAAATGCAAAAACGGGGTAACAGACTACATGAGTTTACCATAAAAACCAAGACCATGCGTAACTCACAATGACGGAAACAATCCTCTTAATAACAAGTCAACGTTTCTTCACTGGACACAAAAGTTCTCACTCCGATCTTTATTTTATATGCAAATTCTACAATCATGTAAACTCCAGACGGTCTTTGTCCATCATTAAATGGAAGACTTGTAAAAAGCAGTCAGTGAGGCCGTTTCCCATGCGAGTGAAACTAAATTTCGAACTTTTTCTGTTGGTCTTACTAAAGTGTTTGGCTGGAGAAACCCCGCATAACTTTGACCACTTCTGGGGTCTCAAAAAAAAAATGAAATTCACCGAAAAGCTTGCCATTGTGAAATAAGGATTGTGATCTCGTGTCTGCCCAAAAAAGCTTATTGATTCATGCCGAGGTTCATAGAACGCCAGCCCTCGGTGACCAACACGTATATCTCAAATTGTAGGTTTCGGGCGGTCTACCATCTTCATTCACAGAGGATCCCACTATATTCCTCTTTGGACAACTTTTTCCACAGAAAAAACTGAAGGCAACAAAGTTCAAAAAATGGTATTTCAATCCACGGTGATCTAGCATTACTTTGACACTTCCTCTTATTCATAAGCTTACACGAGGTTGTGATAACACTTAAATGTAGCCAAACTATGTCTGAAGGACTCCACAAACCATGAACCATGAAGACCCACTTCACAAGAAACGACTGCTGTGGAAGTCCGATTTTAATGATCTCGGTTCTGAAGAACGCGATGCCGAAATTATCCACGATAAAGTATTTTAGTAACACCAGTAACACATTGAGGTTCATGAATATAAGAAAATACTGATTACTCGTGCTTCGGTCCAATGAAAGTCGGTTTCCAAAAATGATACTATGTCACTTCTTTGGCCTGGTTTTGAGGAACTAAGATTATCAACGATAGAGAAAGGTAATACTCACTGCTCAACCGAAATCTTTGCAACAATATCAAGAAAACCCAGTGTTTCCGAAAATAAGACACTAATAATAAAACGGTAATTCTACAAACGCTGGAGCCAATATGTCACTGTCAAGTTCCAGGGACCGCAAACAAATACCCTCTTACTCGTTTGTTATATCTTTACCAAGTTGTCCTCATGAGAACTGGCTGAATTTCGTCAACGGGATTTCTCATGCGGCCAAGCAGGATATCCACTGAAAAGGGTTTCGCAACGAAACGCCGCTCGATGAATTATGTACGCATGATAACGAAACTCGATGGTGTGTTGCAAGAATACAAGAGACGGCTTAAACTGCTTAACCTAATTTTTTTTCCGATGTAAAAAACGCGACTAATCTGAGGCACAAATGGTCATGGAAGTAACAAATCAAAGCATCAGTAATTAGTAACAAAGATCTTTAGTCAGCTGTACTAGCAACCAATACTACCTCGATAACGGCGCCGCTCTAAAGAGCGCCATGTGAAAATGAAGCTAAAATGGACATGAAAGTTGTGCGAATACGTCATTTTCGCTTTTTTGATAATAACACCCTTACAGTACAAAGGATTCATCAATGGAAATGAGCCCAGGTTGATTTCGACAGCGATCGTAGAAAGATCAGTCTTCAGCTGAATCTCATGGAATTGAAAACTAAGAAAACACTGTGCATGAGAAACGTTTATATTTCTCACAACCTATTCACGATCGACGGAAAGAATATTTCTCGATGCTCCTTAATGTTTGGTTCGACAAGATAAGATGGTTAACAGCCTAGCACCAGAGCTAAGTAACGAGAAACAAACTCCTTAACAACCTCACAAGAGCAACAAGAATATGGTTAGGAAGGCGAAGAGCGTTACGTTGTATACCTACCTCCTACGACTCTTCCCACTTTAATCTAGGCCCTGCAAACGTGGAAATTTATGAGTGGGGATCAATAGTTGATCAAAACCAGATGACGAACATACTCAACCATACGCAGATTTTGCAGTGAACAACCTTCATTTCAAAGAGATAAGTAAAAAGACATTTGAAGCTACCACAGCGGCTGAACCTATTAACTCCACTTACCGAGACATATCCAGAAGTTGTTCCAGATCTACACCACGGTAGGTGAATTTGCGGAAAACTCTCTTCTTCTTAAGTTCAGCGAGATGCGCCTCATCCTGTTCAGCCATGATTGAACTTGATAGGTTACCTAAAATTTGTCGCCATAACACTTCAAAAAATAATAATTTCACTTTAACTGGTCAATGATAAGTGAGACCGAAGGCGAAGGTTTTGAAAACCAATCACTATAAGAAATCTAACAGTAACAATGCTAACAGTAAAAGATATAATTACTGCGAACTTAACATGACTCTTATTCCTGATGTATATCCACAATGGATGTCTCGATGATCTAGTTCAAGCTTAATGCGAAATCAAAACGGTTAAGCGCTAATGACACCTTCATTTCATACTTTCGTTCCGGTGTTTAGAAAAAAAATATCATATTCGATGACTACCTAACAATTAACGGTACATGCTAAGTATGCATACACAAAAACATTAAAAATGGAATCGAAGACCCCATTACTGAACCAAAATCTGATGAGCTTGAAAGCAAATCGATAAAGAACGCTAAGATAACAACAAGAGATTAAAAGAGGACGGACAGAAAAAAAAGAAAAGAGAGAAGAGTAACGAATACAATCACTGCTTGAATACTTGGATGGCCCGTCTTCTGGATGATTTAGCCATTGTGGTTCTCTAGCCATGCCAAAGTCTGTCCCAGGTCCCTACTGCCTAAACTCAAAATAAGACATTTCCCACGTAAATGATGCCAGGGCAAAAATGAAATGCCACCCCAGCCACTGTGTAACGGCGCTATGGCTGCGTATCGACAACGCTGTAGAGACGACATGCACACCAGCGGGATACTGTACACGCGTTTTTGTGTTCGATATCCTTGGAATTACGCGTATTACAGAACTCACATGCCTCAAAGGTGTGTGACGGAGTAGGTAGAAAGAATTTCATAGTAATAGTTCTTTTGTAGGGATCTATGCAGAATTAGACGTCTGTTAGCTATTTATTGTAGTAGCTGACAGGCTAGCACGAGTTTATCGATCTTTGGTGTTTCTGGACTTTTCCGGGTCCAATTGCAGTCACGAGGTTTTTGTTTCGTGAAATTAAATTATGATTTTCTGATGCCTCTTCCATGGTACATTCTTTTTCGCCTTTTTATTCGTCGAGCTCTATATGTCGAGCAGGTAAGTGACTAAACGTAGAAGCTTAGCAGCTGTGCTTGCGTTGGAACTTGTAAAAGGTTGAGTTCCATCTTCATTTTTTGCGGTTCTACTTGTAAACGTATTTAAAATTGATAGAATAGTTGTGCGATGATTTTGTATGCCACAATGATGGTGAGATATTTGCCAAACTCCGGACCGCAGGTGTCTGCGGTGGGGAACGAACGCGCTATTACCCTTTCCGGGAGCTAACGCGTTCGCGACCACAGCATGCGTATCCTTCGTTGACGGGTGATAAGCTGAAGGTGTAGTATAAATCACAGAGTGGTCGACGGGTGATTGGTGATAGCACTTATAGGTTAGAACATGGCTGAGAGAAAAGCGAAACAAAAGACCTGCATGGTGTGGTGGTGGACGCGTTAGCCTCCGGAAAGGGTAATAGCGAGTTCGATCCCCACGGCAGACACCTTTAGTCCGCCCGCACTTTTGCGAATATCTCACTGAGTGCATTGTGATTAATATATAACCTTAACGCGATAGAGAAATACTCCTTCCATGAAACTGTGAAGTTTCCAGCTCCTATACTTTAGTGGGCGGAAGGTTGTTGTCATTTGTCAAAAAACCAGTTTATGACACCGTGTTTGTACCGGAGGAAACTTTTTACAATGCATGCTTGGGAGGAGCGACAAAATGCACGTTCCGCATTGCTGCCAATGCACAGTGTTCATCGCTGCTAATGCATTTCGCTTTTCGGTGGTTTATTTTGCTGCTCTGAGCTTTTTCTTGCGTTTTTTTCGTGTTTGCTCGATAGTTTATGCAGCATCAGCTATGAGCTATTAAAAGCTCCTCTCTACGCTTAATGGCTTACAAAAACCGTTTCTCGTAAGAGTGCATTTTGCGAGAAGAGACGATTGCGATTGAGGAGTAGGCAGCACAGACACTGTTGTCGGTGAAGAGCCTCGTCTCCACTTCAACGCTCGAATTCGACACCTGGGAACGGATGGCCCGTATGATAGGATAACAAATCATTAGGCCACTTCTTTAGAGTGGCTGGATGTTCATAGCATGTGCGATCAATGACGTGCTTTAGCGCAGTTCGTCTTGCTCTCGTAACACGGTGTAAAATTTAAGATTTTATGTACAATCAATTTGCCATATCTTGCATAGAATTAATAGTCTTAACATGCAATCAAGGTGCACGTGGGGCAGTGGTCGGAGGCGCCCCGCAACACACATATGGGATCGATTCCCGCGCCCCTGGCCCACCTAGCCCTCTATCCCTTCGAGGTCGGCAAATTGGTACCAGAGTGGTCTGGGAGGATAGCAGCACTGGTTCGTTACATCGGTAGGCCATTGCGAGTCATTCTAAAAGCCAGATATGGATTCAACCTCCTCCAAACGATGCTTAATGAAGTTGAGTGCATATCTGGCTTTTAGAATGACGCATCCTTCAGCGATTGGTCAACGTCGAGAACATTTATCCTTCAACATACAAGTTGAAGTTCTTTCCTGCAATCGACAACTTCCAACTTTTCGGTAGAAGTGCCCATTTTAGAACGTAGAATAATGTAGTATTTCATTTCATCTCGTCAACACTCGTACGTCACCATATATCCTCTAGTCTCCATCTATTCGATGCGACCACTATCAGTTCTTAAATATTGGCCGTAAGAAATTCTTTAAGACTTTCTGCATTCTATGCACCAAGGTCCTCTGGTTACCGAAGAGTCAGAACTACACATTATATGAGGCATACAAAGTTTAACTTTTGACTAATAGTTGACCTCCCAACGGTTTACCGCCTCATCGTGGCTGGGAGGTGTTCCTGGGTGTCGCACTGCGATGTACAGCAGGGGATTCATCTCCTGGCAGGGTCTCCCAAGCTGAGAAGGAGCCCGGCGTTTCCATCAGGAACCCTAGCTAAGAGTAAACCAATACCAGGTTCCATCACCGTCCTGGTATCAAAGTCGCATGGTGGTAAATCTCCCTCTGATCTACAAGGGCTGCGGCTGCCTGTGGTGCTGAAAACCTAGGACAGACTTTGGCTGGGCTGATCTCAGGACTCCAAGGAACCGTAGTGGCTTAACCAGCAAATTTCCGAAAAATATAGATTATGCTGGGGTCCGCATAACGAGTGAGGACGAGCCACTCAACTATCAAGCATGAAGTAAGTTGACTGAGATTTCATTTTCAGTCGCTGTGATGAATCGTGGTTATCCTTATTGAATATTTGAGTACAAGAGTCATTGGTGTGAACTCAAAGTAAATAGTAAGCCGCTTCCTAGTAAACTTTCTGCTAGCAGTGACCATGGTGAATATGAAAACTGTCCTCTACTTCTATGTCATGGAGAGTAGTCTTCATCGCTCCGTACTGTTCTGCTTGTTCACATCTCACCACGCTATGAGCCTTGTATAATTTTTTAGGGCAGTGTATGATATGAAACACAATCACTATGATGCTGACATATTTGCAAAACTTGTACCCAAAACCGGATGCAACCGCGATTACCCTTTCCGAGGGCTCGTGTGTTACCCAAGGCACCACTGAGGTCCTTGTTCTGCCTTTCAGCCAGTCTTTTTTTGCAAATATCTCAGCATCATCGTGGTTATCAGGCTTGTCTTCATCTCACTATACTATCATGTTGATACACAATCAACACGCTGCAACTTCAGATCAATTATTGAATGTAGGAACTATTCTCTACCTCTTGGCAAATACCCTCTATCCTACAATACTATCGCATTTACTTATATGATCTTATAAACTTATTTTGTTGAGCTAATGCGAGGTTAGTATAAGTTTTCGTTGTCGTATGTTTCGGCGATTTCGCCTTCCTCATTTTCTTAAATTATTGAGCTAACCAGAAATCATAGAAAGAGTTATTCGGTTAACGTTTCGGTATCCTTGTCTTCTTCAAAGCAGCGCTGATCGGAGTCGATGGTAGCCCACACGGGTTAATCAATTCTGAGAGCTTTATCCTCGTTTTCTTTAATGCATCCTGCACCAGTCAGTATTCCATTACCGTACACATAACGTGGCAACATCTTGAATACCGTTCTTGATTAAACCTCGGCAAAATGATTAATGTTTTCTTAGATTGCTGAGCTAACAAGAGGGTTTTATTGGAATGTTTAATAAATGTGAATGAATGGAAAGGTTCAGTGAAAGTCGTCTTTTATGATATTACCTCGTTCTTTGCCTGCTAATGGACTTCCGACTGCTGTAGGTTTAACGCGGCTCTGAAAAAGGCGATGGCCTCGACATTTTAACCGAATAAATCTTTTTATAACAACTTCGGTTTCGCTCGGCAATCTAAGGAACTATCGATCCTTCCGTCGAGGTTTAATCTACGTCAGTCTCATATTATATTTTTTGGATCGTTGTACTTACACGTGGCTGTTATATAACCCTTATTCGGCTAACGCTTCTACGTCTTCGTTCTCTATGGATCAGCTGCTCTGAAGGAGACGAAGACGCCGAAACGATAGCCGAATAAAAGTTATATACCAACCTTGTGTAAGCTGTTCTAAGAAATATGTTGACTATTCGCCAAGGTTAAGTAGAATTCAGTTTAGTAAAGTAAGTTTCATATCGGCTATCAATTGTTCCACGTATGCGATTTGTCACTTGGTGTAAACCACATCACTTGCCCAAAAGTTCCCAAGGCCGACCTTCTGTTAACTTTGGTGTTGTTTAAGAATTCACTGTTCTCTCGATGAGCAATACGTGGTTGTTACTGAACTATTTATTCATCCACAAAAGCTGACGTTTTAACAGATTCCGCTTTCCTTAGGGTTCGAAAAGTCAAGTTGACTGCAATCTAGTCAGTCGAATACCTCCATAACCTAATGAGAAAGAATACGAAGCCTGCATTTTAATCTCAATGGAAGAAAATAGCTACTCTACACACTTCACTTGCAATCATCGCACTGCATTAATGCATTACTCTATCCACCGGGTGTACCAAGAGGGCATGCCGTGATGGCGCCATGACGTTTACCGACCACTCAAAGCAGGTCTAATGTCTCTTGATTTGTTAGACATCGTGTTATTCTGAATCGATTCATCCAATCAATAGTCGTTTCGTTTTGATGAATATAAAAGTTTAATTTGATATCAAATTGTTGATTTAATCACTTCTCATAAATTTTAGGCATAGGTATCGCTGTGGTTGGCCACCCAAAATATGTGAAATGCTAATGTAAGTTGCATCATTTCTCAGTAGTACTAAGCTTATTCCGTATACGAAGGAAGTAACAAGACGTACTGATAAGGATTGTTCTTGGACGTGCTGCCCTTTTGTAATACTTGTACGAGATTCTTTCAAAAACCTCTTTGAACTCTGTATAGTATCGCTGATATCGTACCGTTCCATCGTACCGTTCTTGTATACTTTGCTCTTCAGTGTCAGAGTTTTTATTTCTGTATTACTAAGTACTACTAACTTGCGAAGAAGGAATAGTTTTTATTCAGTGACGAGCTTCGGTGAATGTGTCCTGGCTGAGCTGCTGCTTAGTGGTTGAAATGTTTCGCCTGATCGCATGTGTTGCAACTTGTCTGACATCGTCCACTTTTGTTCATCAACAAGCTTTGGATGCCGTTGTAGAACATCCAAATCTTTCTGATATCCTTGCCAGAGGTATGTGCATCTCTCTATGGGTCTCTACACTTACAATTATTCTTTTCTTTTATCATAGCGCTAAATTTGGATTTTGAATAAGTTTACCAATGGGGTAAACATGCATTGCTGTTCCACCAAAAAGTAGCAAAAATGTACTTATTTTTAAGTTGCACTTTTGTAGTTTTTATTTTTTTCCTTTCTGTGTACTTTTCGAAAAGGAATGTATTATTTCACTTGTGATTCATCCTTACGGAATGCTCATGATGTAGCTCGGATAGTTGGGATACCTATATATATATATATACATACATATATATATACATATATATGTATACATATATATGTGGAGCGAATAGAAGAAGGGTAGTGTTGCTGATCATAACGAGCGCTGTGCTGGTTCGACCGCGCCCCTGGCTCACCAAGCCAGACATCCCTCCGGGGTCAGGAAATTGGTACCGGACTTCGGCAAAAAATCACTCTCTGCAACCCAATTGGGAACGCTCCAGCCCCGTTATCTCAGGACAGGGAGAATCGGCTCGCCAGCATTATACGACATTCATGACAAAGTGGAAATCCTCAAGCAGCAACTGAACCCACTCGAAAAGTAAAATTGGAAGACCTTCGTGGATAATGGATGCGAGGAAACGAATCGAATGAATGTGGGAAGTGGTGGTATCCTCATAGTAGACGTGAAGACGAGTCTTATAAAGTAAAATAAGTAAGACTGTACATATATATACATACAATATATATATAACCCTTTTTGGATTTGATGGAGATATACGTCTTTGCGACACGGTTTTTTTTTCAATTTCCGGAATTCCTGCATTTCTTGAGAAATTCCGAGAGTTTTGTACTCCTCATCTTCAGTAATACTAGCGAATGAATCCGGAATACCACTGGGAAAACGAAACTTCGCATTTAACCAAGTTCTCCTTTAATAGGCTTATCGTTTCGTAAAATTGCATTACATGGAAGTATTGAATAGTTATCTGCAAATGTCTTTATTGGTCAATGTTACACAGAAGCGACCGGTTTTCTAGTCTGTGGCTATTCTTTTATTGTAAAATTTATGCTTTCTAAACGCATTTAAAATCCAATTATTCTTTCCGAATTTTATAATACAGGCAGTTATATTGGTGAGCAGAACGTTGATTACGAGTATGCTGAGCCAACGAATAGTACTGGGCATTCTCATCTTGACAGTGAAGACGAAGATGATTTAGAAGTTGATCAAGGCGATAGTGAAGTCAGCGAAGAGAGGTTGGCCATTGGAAATTTAACATTTTGTTTATCATTTCATCCTTCATTTCAAACTGGAATGCTTACTTTATACTTACTTACACTTACGTTTCCTCTACACTTTTGAAGGAGAATTTTCTTGCAGACATATAACTTTGGAGTGGCGTCTTAGCAATTATTCACAAGAAAAGATTAGGTATCAAGTGGTTTTTACGTCTCATGCCTGACTGTTACCTTTGTTTGTATTTTAACACTCTTCCTCAACAACTCACTGTCTGGTTTTATCTTTCCAACGGAAATGTGAACAATCTTAGGAACGAAGATCGTGGCGTATTCATTGGTGATAGCAGAGATGGCTTTAAGGAGGTGAAGCCGAATCAGCGACGAGTGGCTCCTGTTGTTGCTGTCATTAACAGTGCTTTTAACAATAGGTATAGCATTTTCTTCGCCTTCTATTTTATGCTAATCTAATCTCTATGTCTACGCTTCTACCATCTTTTCTTTTATGGGGATTCGGTAAAATATATTCAATTTTTACTTTCTAAGTTTTAGCCGTTTTTTGTTACGGTTACGTCAATTGGTGTACTCGTTTATGCGTTTCGATGAGCTGCAGTTTCTACTTGCTCGAAGTGCTTTCACTTTTCTTAGCGTAACTCCTTATATTTCGTACTACCTACATCTTTCCATTTGTGCATTTTTTGTGTTGCAGTTGTCTTGTTACTGTAGCCATTGTCGAAAAACTGTTGGTATGCAGTTACAGTATGCAATTTCTCGAAGTATTCATAATGAGTGCGTGTAGCGCAGTGTTCGGTGGCGCCGTGCAATACACATGGGATCGATCGTGCGCCCCAGCGCTCACCAAACCTTCCATCCCTCCGGGGTCGGTAAATTGGTACCAAACTTGTATGGAAGAATAGCAACACTGGTTCGATATATCGGTGGACCACCGTGAGTTACTGTAAAGGCCAGATAAGCATTCATTCACCCCCAACGATGCTCATTGAAGTCGAATTCATGGCCCATCCCTCAGGGATTGATCAGCGCCAAAAGCTTCAAGCTCCTTGTGAATAATTTTTCACTAGATTAACTCAAAGAGTGGAAAGTAAGTTATATTGACAACATAGTGGGTATAGTATGAATCATTCACGAAAAGCTTATGGCCGTCTTAAATTATGCCTGCTCTATCGAAATATTTACTTATTAAAGGGTATGTAACGTGGTTATCTTCCATTATTTCACTAAACAATATATGTTTCTTGCCATGCTCTAAATTCCGTCCATTATTCACTGCTCCATTGTGAATCTTGTTGTTTTACGAGACTAAACCACTGGTATGGAGTTTCCATCAAGAATCCCAGTTATGGGGAAACCAGTGCCAGGATCCATCATGGTTCCGGTATCAGACTAGTCGCATAGTGGCAAATCTCTCTCTGATCCACCAGGGCAGCGACTGTCTTTGGTGGTGACGACCTGAGGCAGACTTTGGCTAGGCTGACCTCGGACCTCCAGGGAACTACAATGGCTAAACCAGCAAAACTGTGGGAAAAGGGAAATTATAATGGGGCTCACACAGTGAAGACGGGTCATCCAAGTATCTTAGTGTCCAAGTAATCAACTACTAAGAAAATTGAAGATATTAACTTTGTTCTGCAGTAGTTTAAAGAGTATGAATGCAAGTACTTATTCAATAGATTTTCACTCCTTCCGTAAGCTTCATCGGTATATTTGAACGAGCAACGTTCAACAACGCACTTCAACTTTTGTTTTTCATCGAGATCTTTCACATTTTCTTTCGTTCCATTTTCTTATCCGTTTCTTGTTTTTCTTTCATTTCTGTTTTTTCTCTCGTTTGGTTATCTTTATTCTTTTTCATTTTCGTGCAATACTGAAGTGAGTAGGTGTATTATTTCCCTTTTTTTATGTCATTGGATGGAGACTGCATTGATCGAAGTTAAGAGTCTATTCAGTTTAACTGTTCACTTCAACTGTTATCATGTAGTGGCGATAACTGAACAGCATGCACTCTGCGAAGGAATATAGTCGAAATAAAGAGCAGGATAAAACTTCCGGTGTCGATCAATCCTTGAGGCCCCACGCATTCGACTTCATTAAGCATCGTTCGAGGTAATTGAATGCATATCTCGCCTTTACAATGACTCGCGGTGGCCTACCGATCGAGCCAGTTCTGCTATCCTTCCAAACAAGTCTGTTATCAATTTACCGATTCCGGAGGAAGAGAGGACTTGGTGAGCCCCAGGCTAGAGATCGATCCCACGTGTGTCGCAGGGCGCCTCCGATCACTGTGCTCCACATGTCCTCTAGACGAAATAGTTAAATACATATTCTTTGCAAAGACGTGCAATATTTTATCGAAAAAGAAATCTGTGGATGTCCTTATAATTTTTCACCATAGAAATCTGCTCTATCACCTCTCACTGCTTTTTTTTAAAATGAGAGCGGCTTATTTACGCAGTCTGGTTTACTGTTGATTCCTAAGTAATTTTGGCAGGAAGTGGTATAAACTGCACTTGTCCTGTAGCGTTCTTGTGTTGCCTACTCAGATCTGTTCGCTCGGGTGAGACTACGAATTGACGTTTTTCACGCACGTTCTTCATGAAGATGGCCAACAGTCGGACCCCATGTTCAGCGGTTGTTTTTAAGGTTTATAATGTGTCCATTCTGTTTTGAATACCCGTATGCACGAATCTTCCGTAGGCCGTGTCAGCTGAAACTGCTAATTCATTCTGTCAGGCTTACAAAACAGGTTAACACTACCATGACAACTGTCTATCTGTGACTATTCTTTCCCCACAATTACATGTGCCCAAGTTTTTGAGTGGGCCATTAAAGCTAGCTAAACCATGGGGTCGATAGAGTGACTTAGTAACAGGACATTACTTGCCTTCTTAACTGCTTCCTCGGTGCTCTGGTTAGCTTTTCCTGCTGGTTGCTAGCTCTGGGCTTGTTCTTAATGTTGTGCCGTTAACCCATAGCGGGCAGATTTGGAGAAATCCGTCCTGAATGAAAAAAAGCTATTTTGCACCGAAAGCAGTGGACACGAAGCGGCTTCTGGCTGTACTTTTTTGTTTTACATGACTGATTCGTTTCCTCGCAACCATCGTCACGAAGTTTTCTGAACATTTCGCATTTGCTTTCGGCTGCTGCGTGTCGATTTTCGTCTTGTTTTCCTGGATGTCGTTCAGTGTTGGTCGAGTGGTTTCTCCTTGCAGTTTTAGGATAACCAGGCTAAAGCGTTGTCAGATGGATTGAGGTGATAGGGATGGTCCCAAACATGTCCGGTACCGATTTCGCAACCTAATAGGTATTGGAGGCTTAGTGAACCCAACGTGGGGTCGAACTTTCACCGTGCTTATGATGAACAGTATTACTACCACTGCGCTACCCACTCAGTCTAGGCTATGCTAAATTTTTAATTATTTTTTTTATTCATTCTGCATTTTCACGAGTTTCTCTACAACTTTCAATTCTCAATCTAGAGCTCAGTGAATGCTTTTATAATGATAGCGCGTAAAAGGGTGAAATACTTTTCAGGAAGTCTTTCGCGTGTCCAAAAATCAAAACCGATTTGATGACGGGGACATCAATTGGTGATCTGAGCCCTGAAGACATCACAATAATTGCTTCTATGGGCGATGCACTGGCGGTATAAGTGTTTTTCAATTTTTACGGTAGAGAGGAGCAAATCCAGTTCATGCCTTTTATTAAATAAAAGTTAAAAATTTCGCGTGGTATATGTCTTATGGATTGCTTGGTTGCAAGAAGTCCATTCAACGGGTTTTTTATGATTTAAGATTTTGGTGAGGAAAAAGGTTACACATGTCGTGTTAATATCTGACCAGATATTTTGAGTAAAGGTGTAGGTACTGCATACAAATTGATCAGCATGATGCGTATGCCTGGTCTCTTCATACGTCCATGTTGTGTTTTTTCCTTATTTTCTGTTTCAGGTTTTAACAGCTCTGGTAGATTTTCCAATACCTGCTTCTATTACTAGATTATTAATTATTCAGTTAGTTATTAATTATCTATTAATAGAACCAGGTGTCAGAAAATCTGTTACGGCTGTTAAAACCTGCAAGCGAATGGAAAAAAGTGGCATGTATGATAAAAATGAAGCGGGTATTCGTTATCGCATCGAGTCGAATCCAGACAAGGACGAGCTGTGGACCGTCGAGTAGGATCAACATGACTCTGAAGAAGACGAAAGCGCCGAAACGTCAGCCGAATAAAAGTTTTTATACCAAACTTTTGTTACCTTAGTAATATGAAAAATTATTGCTCATTGTTACGGACCTTTAAATAAAGACGGTTTTTACGGTATATTATATTCTTGCTGCACTTCACTAACCGAGATGGAAGTCAGTAAAATTTATGGCTTTCTTTTTTCGATACGTACCTTTTCTCCTTTCGTTGTCAAGACTCGTGTTTCGAATTGAAAAGCAGTTGAACAAGCGCGAATTCGTCTACCAGAATACAAAGTGTTGCTTGACATGCTGTTCATTTTCGCAGCTGCTTTTCTTCAAACTAAAAATGTTTTTGAGAATTTTTTTTTAAGAAATTGGAAGAAGAAGTGTTTTCAAGGATTATTTATGCCCTTAAGGTGATACAACAACTATATTGCATTATAACCACAATGGTTCTGAGATATTTGCAAAACTCCGGACCGCAGGTGTCTGCGGTGGGGAACGTATTGTCGTTCCGGGGAGTAACGCGCTCACCACCACACCATGCGGGACTTTCTTTCGCCTGTCTCTCAGCTAGTTCTATCGATCAGCATGATCAGCAATCACCTGTCAACAGCATTGGTCCAGGAAGCCAAACTGGCAACGAACCCAGCCAAGCTGAGGCTGTAGTCCATGAGGGAGCGGGATGGTGTGGTGGTAAACGCGTTAGCCCCCGGAAAGGATAATAGCGCGTTCGTTCCCCACTGCAGACACTTGCGGTACGGTATTTTGCAAATATCTCATCATCGTTGTGGTTGGATCACACGTAATACCCTGCCGTGAAAAATTGTAGTAGGCAGCAAATAAAAGTGAACATTGTATTTTATTAGTTACTGAAGTTTTCAACTCCTAAACTATTCTAATTAACGTGAAGTCATCACCAGTTGTCGAAAAACCTGTTTTATCGCAAATGAGTTAATTAGGATTAACGTGCCGTAAAATTTCTTTAAAAACTGCTTGTCTCATTGGATTGAAATCCCATTCAAATGATTTTATTAATCTCAGCCAGACTGTTTAGACTGGAAAAACTGGAAAGACCGATTTTCTATAAACCTCGGCATAGATAGTTGGTATATTTATTTATGTGGTCTTATAAACTGATCTTCTTAAGCTGACGCGAGGTTGGCACAGGTCTTCCTTCTCGTTGTCGTTGTTGTTGAAGTTGTTGGTCGATGGCTGAGGTTTCAGCGACTTCGCCTTCCTCAGAGGCTGGACGTATTTTATATCATAATATTTTTATTATTCGGTCGAAAGAAAAGTTAAAGTATTAATGAAGATCAAGCTTTAAAATAGACGCCATATTGAACAGAAAGGCCGCTCACCGTGATGTTACGTGTGGGACTGGCCCACACGTAGTTCACGTGGGGTCGCGAGCGAGGCTTACCCCGGGGTCAAAATATCACTTTGAAATAAGGCGCCAAGTCACGCGTGATAGTGAGGCATTCGTCCTTCCGCTTCATCTTTGAATTCTTGAAATTTATCCGAAACGCTTCAAGAGTTTTGAGCGTTGATGTTTTCGATTCCTGCACTAGAATCTGTACAGTCCCTTCTAAATCATCGCCGTTGTGCTTTTGTGCTTTTGTGCCCCATGTGTACCTAGAGGAGTGTTTAGACGGATTTTAACATTCCCATCTAGATATTTTTTTACGCGGACACAAAGTAGTTCACCCGTTTCCCCAATATATTCCTCACCGCATGCGTTACATGAGATCAAGTATATTATACCTGAGCACATGCAATCCCCGTCTCTCCCGTTAGGACAGATCATACAGTTTTCTGAGCTGCACAAACGATCATAGAGACGGTTGCGAACTAACTGGCAGCGTACGGTATTGGATGGGATGTCAATAATCGTTACAGAATTGTCAAGACCACTTTTTCTTAAGCATCTCTTAATGGCGTAACTTACTTCATTAGATATGAACGGTAGCTTAAAAGGGATCTTACTTACGTCCAAAATATTATTTTGGGAACTACTCTACGTTTTTGTCTAACCCGAGTGGCTTCAACTTCGTAGCCATTGGAAATGGCAGTTTTTCGTGCCAGGTTTTGCGATTCCTTCCTTTCCTCCTCTCCTGTGCACTCATTTTTATCCGTACGGTACATGTTTTTGATAAGTGCTTTCTTCATGTGTGAAGGATGAAAGGAGAGGTAGTGAACTAGAATGTTTTTACTACTTGGTTTGCGATACCATTTTGTTATGTAGCCACTTTCTCAGAGCTTTATTTGGATGTTTAAGAATGGAAGCCAGTTCTCGGTTGGTTTTTATCGTGTAAATTTAATATACTCTGACTGTCGGTTTAATAATTCAAAGCACTCATCCATCTGTTCTGGTGTGGAACAGACGATGGAGCAGTCGTCTATGTATCGACAGTAGAGTAAGGGTCGGTGATCGAGAACTGGAGCTTCCACCTTAGACATGAAAGCGATGGCAAGGCTTGGTACTAAACGCTACTCCATCGCCAACCCTCTAATTTGTGCAAAATATTTTCCAGGCCACCTAAAGATTGAACAACTAAGACACTGTTTTAACAGAGTCATTAGTTGTGCAATCGGCAAGCCGTGCATTTCTATTTTCTCTCCATGCTCCACGAGCAACTCGAGAATGGCTCGCATTGCGGAGTCATTGGACGCGTTGGTATAAAGTGAAGCAACATCGAATGACTTCATTGCATGCGTCTGTTTGGTTGCGCGCCCCTTAGGTGATCTAGAAATATTTTGGTGTTAGGTAGATGGGTTGGAATGAATTTTAGCAGCTGCGTTAGGTTAAGGTTTAGGAATCAGGTTATTCTTTCCGTTGGCCCGCCTAAACAACCGATGACAGGTCTAACTTTATATGATGATGGGTTCGTTGATGTAATATCATCAGTTGAAGTAAGCTCATGTGTTTTAATAAGCAAGTAAAGACAGGGTAAATCGACAATGACAACGAAGACCTGTTTAGACTGGTTTGGGACTTTGGCCAAGAACAAATATTGAGTTTCGTGGCGCTGCTTTTCCTAGCGGAGGGGACGCTACTATTGACGGTCTTGTCACTATACCAAGTAAGTCTTCATGTTAGATAACAAATCTTTACTAAATTTGTGAAGGATGCTCCGTTCACTCGACTTCATTAAGCAACGTTAGAGGTGATTGAGTGCATATCTGCCTGTGTAAGGACTTGCGATGGGTACCGATGTGTTATATCAGTGCTGCTATCTTCTTAGACAAGTTTGCTACTATATCTGCTGCCTTCGGAGGAATGAGAAGTTTGGCGAACCCGGAAGACGAGGTCGATCCTACGGTCACGTGTGCATTGCAGGGCACCTCTAACTCCTGCGCTACACGCGCTCTGGATCTTAACCTAGTAATAACGTACTTGTGTAGAGATTGTAATTATGTGAAAAGCTTCCTAATTATTTCCTGTGTAAAGTAAATGCCAGGGATAATGGATCTCGAGCCAGTTAGTCGCCAGGCAACGTGGCGCGTCCGAAGGTGGTGAATAGGAGGTTAATCGCGGGCCAAAAGCGACTTTTGCTTCCCTGAGACGCAGGTGGATCGACGGTATGGACTCCCTGTTTCTGCAGCGCTGATTTGGCACATATTTTCTGTATTTGCCAGGCGTATTCATGCATGCGTGTGTGGGTGCGTTCTTGCTTATGCGGATTGTATTCTACGAGTCAATTCGGGCAAAAGCCTGCAATCAAGTGACTGGGTAGTATATGGGAGGTGGTTAGAAGTTCCTTCCAACAAATAAGCTCCATGTCCACTCTAGGAGAGCTTAGTAAGCTACCCGTGAGTGTACCCAGCTCCCACGCTCACGGCCTAGCAAGCTATATGTGGGTATCAGAAATGCTAAACACAGTAAAGAAAGCGGGTCTCATTCCCCTGACCCCGAGAGAGTCCCAATTTCGCAGCGTTGGGTAGGACGAGTAGGGAGAAGCTCCTAAAATCATAGGGCCAACGGAAGCTGCCTGGACTACATAGAGCTATGGTGGCGATCTGTACTTACAATGCACGTACACTTGAATCCGAGTCCTCGATAGAAGACTTGCTCATGCAAACAAGAAGGATAAGGAACGATGTCATCGGCCTAGCCGAGACGAGACAACGCCACCTATTCAACGCCGTCTAAGACACCCGAGAACAATTGTTTCTCGGAACATGAGACAGTACAGGAGTTGGAGGCGTCGGCGTTCTCGTCAACACGAGTTTTTCCATGGACATCGATTAATTCGAACAGCTTACAACCGAAACGGACGTTTACGATTAAAAAGATGTGGATCAATACCGGCTTTGACAATCTTCATCGTTTACGCGCCGACATCAATACCACGACGAGGAAGAAGTCGAAGCGTTACATATGGAGTTGGAGAAATTCTACAGAGAAGACCACACATTCTTCAAGGTCATCATTGGAGATTTCACCGCTAAGATTGGACCAAGAAGAACGTCTGAAGAACGTCACATTTGGACCCACGGATTAGAATGGAGCGAACAAAGTGAGCGGCTATCTGAGTTTAACATGTCCGCCAAGACCATCCACGGTAACTCGCCATTCTATAAGCCCCACCCTCAACGCTGGACGTGGGAGTTTCCCAATGGAAAGTACCATAACGAAATAGACGAAATCATAGTAAATAGGTTTTGCCTAACCGATGTCGCTGTTGTTCCATTAAATTCCACACAGGATCAGACCATCGTCTCCTTCGTGCAACATTCTATTTCACGCGGAAAGGAGAAAAAGCCGCTGAATTCAAAAACCGAAGTCTCAGAACCACCGTAAACTGGGACTTATTCAATTCATTAGTCGGCTGTTGGGAAGATGCCGACGTTGATAACATCGACGAAGAATACGATCGGCTCATTCAACATCTTCACGTTAGCGCGATGAAAGCTGAGAGTTCAAAAGTCGCCAAGAGACGTCTGTCTTCAGAACCACTCGAGCTGATACGCCAGCGTGGAATCGGACGAACTGCAGGCAACCGCGAACTAACGTCCAAACTTGCAAAACAGTGCACCAGGCGATAAAAGAAGATCTTCAGGAGAGAAGAGTAGCAGTAATGGTCGAAGCTGAAGAGACTGGGAAAAGCATTCGCAAAGCCCACCGAAGCTTCACCAATTACAGTACCACGATGTTTGCACTCCGGCGCTCAGACGGAACGGTAACAGCGGCCAGAAAGGCAATGTAGAAAGCCATTCACTAATACTACTCATATCTCTTCGATAGTCACGTTCACCTCCCGTTATATGAAATAAAGGAGGATGAATGTGTTGTGCCACCGGTTCTCCCTTCCGAAATCCAGCATGCCATTTCGTAGGTGAAAAATCGAACAACACCAGGTTGGGACACGATAATACCAGGACACCCGAAGAACGTTCCACCAATCCTCGTAAACACACAGGCTCAGCTCTTCACACGTTGCCCGTCTGAGTCGAAACTCCCATTCAGTGGAGGACCAGCAAGACGGTATTATTGTTCAAGAAGGGTGACCTATACGATATCGGCAACTATCGCCCAATCTGCTTGCTGTCTGTCGTCTACAAACTTTTCGCTCAAGTCGTCCTAAAAAGGATTGACTGAACACTGGACGAAGGACGGTCATGTAAGCAAACAAGGTTTCGAAAAGGATTTAGTACGATGGACCACATCCACACCATGACAAGGCGGTCATGAAGTATCGCAAGAGTACAAAAAGCCGCTCTGTCCCACTTTCATGGATTTACAGAAGTCCTTTGATTCAATTGAGAAAGAAGCGGTCATGGAAGCCCTTGATAGTCAAGTAGTCCCTACTCACTACATAAAGATTCTTCGTGAGCTGTACAGAAATTTCACATCCAAGGTATCACCATTCTACAACGATATTAACATTGACGTCAAGAGGTTTGGCAAGGCGATACCATCTCACAAAAATTATTTTCCGCCACCCTCTAGAACGTCATGTGAACATTGGAAGGAGATAATATGGGAGTGAAAATCGATGGTTGGCAGTTACACCATCTTCGCTTTGTTGATGAAATCGTCCTTATAACACTAAACATTAGCCAAGCGGTACGATTGCTATCCGACTTTGATAAAGCCTGTGGAAAGATTGGTCTTCGACTAAATATCACAAAAACAATGTTTATGAGGAGCGGATTGGTTTCGTATGCCCCATTCACGCTCAAAGAAAAGAGTATTTCCGAATGCTCCAGTTATGTCTATCTAGGTCGGGAAATCAATATGATGAACGACTTAGCTCCAGAGCTGAGCAGAAGGAAACGAGCAGCTTTGGGAGCTTTCGAAAGCATCGAGGATGTATTGAAGAGAACAAGGAACACCCGACTCCGTGTCCACCTTTTCGACTCAACGGTACTTCCTGCCCTAACGTATGCGTCAGAAACATAGTCGATGTGTAAGCAGGTTGAAAGATCACTCAACGTTATCGGACGCGCAGTCGAAAGGGCGATGCTAGGAGTATCTTGTTTCACACAAGTAAGGGATGGGATCCGAAGCTCCCACCTGCGTCAACGATCGAAAATCAAAGATGCCGTTCTATACGCCAAACAGTCGGAGATAAGGTGGACCGAACACGTAATGAGTATAAATGACAACCGATGGACAAGAGCCGTTAGTGACTAGATTCCTCAGGATGTCAAACGTAATGCAGGAAGACTACCCACCTGATGGTTAGAGTTCTTCACGAAGAGCCTAGAAAAAAGATGTGATGCTCGACGAGTCTCTAGAGAGAGCAGAACCCACTGGGTTACTCTTGCACGCGACAAGGAAAAGTGGAAGATTTACTGGCGCCCGCTCGAGTCACTCGACGATCAACGGGACTACAGGTGGCAGGTAACAGGCGAAGTAAGTGAGCTGGTTACTTCCCCAATTTTATTTCTCTCATTTTGTCAAGAGATCGTAAAATAGTCGGAGCGTATAATCGGAGTGTAACAGACATCAAAGGGAAAGCTCCATTGTGATCTGCGATTGGTTGTTTTTCCTGTTTAGTCCTTCCAAAGTTTAAAATATTTTCGTTCTTAAATGGAACAACTGTTTTGCTCGTGCTCGTTAACGTAATGAATGTGAATATCGTACATTACCACAGCTCTACCCGCCCATTTTTTACTATTACCGGACAAAATAATTGCTTTTTTAAGATATACTTCGTGAGTTTAATAACCACTTAATTGGTGTCTCTCACGGTATGGGCACACGAGATCAACTTCCCGAGACTCAACTCAGTGTCGCTGAGAGCGGAGCAACGACGGATAAAATGCCAGAGCAAGTAATTCATTTTCCGAACTGTTGCGCAATGTGACAACGAAATCTTCATTTTGTTCTACAGCCTGCACATCATTACCTCTTTATCATTCAATATAGGCACGCGAGCTTGTTCGGCGTCTGAAGAATTTGGTGGAAGTAGATCACACACAGCGATGGATAATGGTTATTGTCACGATTGGTACTGAAGAGGTACGTATGAACATAAAGACATTTCCATTGAGGGTTTTATTAAATTTTTGGTCGTTACATTTTAGTGCACGCGTTCCAGGTTTGCTTCCGATGCACAGCTCCAAATTTCACTGCTCTTGTTGAAGCCGTTGACATCCTACAGATGCACCTTCCGCGAGCGTTTGTAGTACTTTTGGGACCAATTCATGTTTCTTATCCGCAAAAACTCAAGGGTAATTTATTGAAGTGAGTTTTTTGTGCACAAAATTTCCTCCGTTTAGTAACTAACTCTTAATGATCTTAACTATTCCATAATGTATTTATTTTTGGATAAATCCTCATGAACAAGATGATGCTGAGATATTCGCAAAACTTTGGACCGCAGGTGTCTGCAGTGGGGAACGAACGCGCTATTACCCTTTCCGGGCTAACGCGTTCACCAGCACACCATGCGGATCCTTCGTTCCACATGTCTCCTCATAAACAGTTGTCTGACTATTAGTGGTCATTATGCCAATTTCTTAGCGATGGAAGAGCTCAAAGCAAATTACCGCTAACTGTGGATAGGGTCTTATTCTATCGGTATGCTGATAGAGAGTGCTGTTGTTAATCATTTTTTTTAACGTTTTGTTTTCTGCCTTCTATAATTTTCATGGCAGGTTACTAAGCGAAATACAACCACAACGTTGCTGAGATATTTGCAAAACTCTGGACCGCAGGTGTCTATGGTGGGGAACGAACGCGCTATTATCCTTTCCGGGGAGTAACGCGTTCACCACCACACCATGCGGGTCCTTGGTTTCGCACGTCTCTCAGCTATTTCATTTTTTTTTTTGTTTTGTGATGTTCTTGTACATTTGCGTTTCTCATGTTGAACTTTTTTTGCCGCATACAGTACACCAATCCGAAAAATTCAAATTTTTGCATCCTTTAATGTTTTTATGTAGGTCTCGTTGTGAGTGCTCAAGGGAAGCGTCAAACACTTTGATGGAAAAATTAAGTTCTGATTGGAAGAAAGCATTTGAGAAACTTCAGGAGCACGTGGACAGCAGCCCTTTCAGGGTATTTTTCAGATTTTCTTTCGCTGTGATGTTCTATCGAACACGTACAATTACATAGTTGTTGTTCTTGACCTGGACTAAAAACCACTGGTTTTTGTAATTTTTTGAAAGATTGTATTTTCATGGTTCTAGCCTGCTACATTTGGTATTCTTGCAATTCCTGAGCTGACAATAACATCTAGATATCCCTATGGCTTATTCATTCCTAATAAGCCGTTGCTGAACAGGAGAGGTAATAGTGCTATCATCATCACAATTTTGATATCCTAACTTGATTTCAGGCCACAATTATGCGACAAAGTGGTTATGGAATCGTTTGATAGCTGGTGAGAATTATAACCTTTCAGCTGCTGTACTCTCTCAAGATGCATATTTCTGTCCATCTATTGTGAGTACATATTCTTTCGTTGAATTGGTTTATTTGTCTTCACTTGTTATCAATCTTACACGTATTTGGAGTAACCTTTATATCTTGGTCTATTTTAACTTTTTTTCGCATTTACTTAGTAGGAGAAATACTTTCGTGCGGAAGCTGCCTATCCTAAACTTATTATTTTCATAGGGATGTCCTTATTTTCGTAACACCGCTAACGAACATGGATGTCAGCTGCTGAGTCTTCATGAAGCTAAAGAGAAGGAACTTCTCTTAGGAATTGATGGAAAACTCCTTAAAAAGGTTTCCTGTCCTGTGAATGGAAAGAACAGTTATGTGATAGTACTAATTTCAGCGACGCCGTACAGCAGAACGTTTGTATACGATTGCTATATGTATTGTCGGTATAGCGTTTTTTGTAGTGTGCACTCTAGGGACCGTCTTTTACCAGCGAAGCAAACAGGTTTGTTTCTTTGTTACTTCTCTTCCAGGCATATTTGTTATCTTCCTTTAGGGTCATCATGGTCGTTTCGAAATCGTGGACGAGGTACAGAAAAAGTTTGAAGAAGCTCAGAAAGAGGAGGAGAAGAGTTTGTTGTCGAGGCAGATGACAAGGGGTATGTCAGTGAATGAAGGGCCTCAAAGAAGCGTTCGTAAACTCACAGGCGAAAGCGAATAGTTAGGAAACCTTTCTAGCTCACTCTTGTACGGTGCTATTGCTTTTTGCCTCCCTTTACTTGATATGGTTATTTTCCTCCAACCTTAAGTCCTTTTTTCATTTTTTGTAGCGCCTTCATTAAACATCAGGAAGCTCCTCTCACTTGGTCTCCTTGCCTTTTTAATTTGGTCACTTAGACAGCTCAGCCTTTTCACCCATTCCAGCTCAGTGAGCCTTCATGTAGCATTTGTTTGCTTGTAGACTTAGATGTATATATTTGCTTTTGTTCTTAAATGCCCAGTTTTTAAAGAGACTGTAATTCTTTTTTGTACATAACTGTTATGTGTTTGTATGTTTCATGGTCGATGTACAGGTGTTTCTAGTTCAGTGCATTTTATTTACATTGTATACGATAATCAGTATTTTAAGGTCAGTTTTACCTTTTTGTTACTTCAGCAAGCCACCAGAAGTTTGGTATCGGATGAAAAGTACTAATAGCCTTTAAAAGGTATATTTTTGGATTAAGCATTTGCTGTATGAAAAGGCCTTCATTTAAGAAGAGTGCCAGCACGATTATATATCTCATCCACAGCCTGAAAGAAATTGTTTTGAAGGGTATTTAGGAACACAATTTCGTATTCAAATTAATGTTACCTTAGAGAGAGCTTTGATCAATTCTACTGACTTCTCATACGTTTTATCCTTGTGAGGCGTTTGGTAAATACGGACCGTGCCGTTGTGTTGATCAATTACACCTAGAATATCCCTTTAACGACCGTCTTTCGATCGATGTATGGAGGACGAACCCGAAAATCTTTTGTCCAGAAGCATCATTGAGAGTGCCTTCTCAACTTGTTTCTGGGTCATACCAACACATCGTACGATGTGCAGTAAATCAATCTCCGAGTATGGCTCAATAACACGAGAAATCTCCTGAACAGGACGTATAATGTGGTTGCAATACTGTGTGGGATCTTATCACATTTGATTGCATTCCGTAATCTATGCTAGGCATTGGTACAGTTCCTACGGCTGTGTTATTAGTTTCTGGGTGAGTTAGTGAAAGCTGTAATATACAAAACGTAAAAAAAAAGCTTAGACTATGTCGTATTAGAGCACTATGAACTCGTGGGCTATAATTTTGCAGTATGTGTCCTCACCTTCTCGAGCATACTATCTCGTAAATCTTTCGAATGAGCGGATACCACTGGATCATCTATTAGTTCTTTGCTGTAGTCCTTGAGGCACTAAAAAGAACACAGGATTGAGGCTGACCATTCCACATGTGGAGTGCATTGATAGGGCATTGCTTTCGTACATCCAGTTGGAAGCCAGACTCATTTAACTATCGAGTGAAAACTTGGGTGAGAACTCTCTCAGTTCGTCAGGCTGAGCATAACTTAACTTGTTTAGCGATAACTGAAGATGCGATTAGTAAGTGAGTTTTGCATGCTCTATAAAGACTACTGACTTGATGATTAGATCTTTTTACAAAGGCGTTAGATGTAGAAGACGTTCTTCTTGTCCGTCGAGCGAGCAGAGCTTCTATGACGAGTGTAGAGTGTTGGCGCTAGTTCAAACCATTTGATACCAAGAAATGAAGAAGTGACACAAGTTGGTACAGCTTTGGGTTTTCATAATACTATAAAGCGAGTGAATATTAACCATTTACGAGTTATAGCTGAAGGCAGCGATAAGTAGGAAACTAGCCGAGAGAAACGCAAAGCAAGCGCCTGCGTGGTACAGCGTGTAATACGCCAGCGCCAGAAATGGTAATTGTGGTTCGATTTGGCACTGGATTCAAGTTTTGCGAATATCTCCGCATCGTTATTGTAGTTGTATCAACCATTTATTTAGGCAATGTTGGCATTATTATCTTTATTGCTCTTCGAACGCCTGATAGTGATAGTGGTGCTTTTCACTGCTCGAAATGGCTAGCCTAGCCAGCCTCTGGTTGGGTTCACCCATGAGCCCTCCAAACTTGCTATCCCAGCAAAGTCAGGAAATTCGTTCCAGAGTTATCTGCGACGAGCTTACTCCCTTTAATCCACGTGGGAACGCCCTAGCACGGTTATTTCAGCGTTTCAGTGAAAATCGACTCGAACATTCAATGACAGTCATGACGAGGACGAAAATCCTGAAGCCGAAGCTCAACAAACAAGAAAAAACTTCAAATAACGCCGTGGCATGGGAGCATACAAATCAAATGCGAGAACTACTGAGATCTTCTTCAATGTGTGGTGTCGGGTCATTAACGACAGAAAGTTGTAATTCCAGAATTCTTAACTGTTCGGAAAGTCTCGGGTAGCACAGGCTTTTCTACTAAACTATTTAACCGGAAAATTATTAAATCACTAGATGGTTAAATGACATAAGCGGAATAACATTTCTAGTCATTTCACACTTAACGGTATCATTCCGTACGAGGAATACCCAAAGTATCACGATGTCTACAAGGTTTTTCCAAAGTCGGTAATGGAATTTTTGGAATCGCACATCTAGCAGCTTCGTTCTAACAGGCGTTTCGTTGCAGAAATCCTTAGCTCTCAATGAATTTTGTGACGTGACCATGTTGCCATGGAAAACGCTGAAATCGCACATGTCTGTTAACCCACCAATTCTTCGTTTTCTTTACTGCTCTTTTGACGCCGCTCTGAGATTTGATTTCGATCTCTAGCACCACTAAGGATTAAACTCTTGGCAACTCTCCAGCCTCGATTGCGTTAAAAGAAGGCCGTGGTAACCGACTATCTACAGCCGCATTGATGAAATGCAAAAAAATGTTATCAGGCGACGTATCCATTCTGTAGCCGCTTGCAAAGGGGACAATTGTTGGAATTGGAATCACGACATGACATGTACAGACTTCTGCATTCTCTTTCTGAAAGCATTTAATCTGGTTTCAATTCTATGAAAAGTCACTCGTGCAGAATTAGAGAAGCTACCGCTTTAGCTGTTGAACATCTTGTTGGTCTTTACAGCCCTCACTTTAACCTATTTTAGCAGTTTTACACTTTCTCTACAGTTTCGCAACCTCGTACGACAGTTTACTATTGCCGAACTTGGACTCCATTGTCGTTAACATTTTGCTTCAGTAATATTGGGAAGAAAAAACTGATTCGACTTCACCGAGCATCGTTAGAAGCGATTGAATGCATTTGTGGCCTACATCCTGTTTTGTAGTGGACTAACGATATCAAGGCAGTGCTGCAATCCTACCAGAAAGTTCGCTTACCCAATTTTCTGACCGCGTTGGGATGGTGCCAGGGGCGCGTGGTCGAACAAAAGACTAATTTTCTATGTTTTGCAAGGAACCGTTAACCATTGCGCTACATGCATCCTGTTGACGTACGTCCATTGTGAAGAAAAACAGTTATAAAAGCTTTCTAAAGAAAATCTCTTAGCGGTAGGAATGAAAATGTCAAAAGTGTTGCTGTTGTATCGTGAAGCAAAATGTAATAGTGTAGTAATCCACAACGTTGCTGTGATATTTGCAAAACGCCGGACCGCAGGTGTCTATGGTGGGGAACGAACGCGCTATTGTCCTTTCCGAGGAGTAACGCGTTCACCACCACACCATGCAGGCCTTTCGTTTCGCCTGTCTCACAGCTAGTTCTATCGATCAGTGCCATCAGCAATTCTAGTAGGCAGAAAATGAAAAGGTAAAACATGATTTTGACTACAGCCTCAGCTTAACTGGGTTCAGTGTCTATGTGGTCTACCCAGATCTAACCCGTTGACGGGTGATTGCTAATGGCACTGATCGATAGAACTAGCTGAGAGACAGGCGAAACGAAAGACTCGCATGGTGTGGTGGTGAACACGTTACTCCTCGGAAAGGACAATAGCACGTTCGTTCCCCACCATAGACACCTGCTGTCCAGAGTTTTGCAAATATCTCAGCAACGTTGTGGTTGTATTTCTCTTAGTACCTTGCCTTGAAAAGTGTAGTAGGCAGGAAATAAAAAGGTAAAACAGTGTAGTAATCCTCCTCCTCAGAAAACTGCTTATGGATCGTTTACTGGTTCAGTCGCGAGTCCAGGCTCACCTAACCATACAACCAGGATCTCGAAATTGACACTAAACTTGTTCGGAAAGGTACAAACAATACTTTATCCATCGGTAAACCACCGCAAGTTGTTGTATAGGCCCGATATGCATTCAATCACTCTTATGAATCCTTGATGAATTCAAATGAACAAAGCGTCCTTCAGGACCTGCAATAACTTCGAGCGTTTTAGCCTTTATCCTCTATAATAAGAGGATTAGCATATGCTTGTGTGCTCAACATTTACATGGTATCTTATCGTTGTCGTCTGGCCAAAAGTATGGCGAAAACTTAATCCCGTTTCCTTGAGTTAGGAATAAAAACAAGATAAATTGAAGGGAAGAACACGAATGGGAAGAGAGAGAAGGGTTCCAAGAGGAGCTAGCTATGAAAGCGATCAAGTATGCATGGAAAGTGGAAGTTGCGTTTATTGGTAGTTTCTAGATGTAATCATAGCGTTGACATGACCAGAATTTTGCAATTGTAGGAAATTCTTTCCTCACCTTCATAAATTTACTAAGGCTTCTTTCTTTGAAAGCTTCGGCCATATGCTTCATCGCATCCACATCTCTACCGCGGACTTGTTGCACTGCCTGTATTACAGTCGTCTTAAGAATATTATTAACTCTTATCTTTAGCCGTGCTTTTTAATGTACTAAAATTTTACGCCACCTTTGTTGAAAGTAGAGCAGGTATTGAGTCTGCTTCGTCAAGCATGATCTGTAAGCGATCAAGTTTTACCGGGTGATTTCAGAAACTCTGACGCGACGTATTTAATGGTATCATTACCTTACAGAGGCACATATACTTTAGTGCATAAACTGCTTTTGATACATCAGTAAGTAGGAAGCCCTCGAGAGCTTCGTAGCAATATGAGTATGCTGTCTTGAAATCCTTCTCTTCGGCGCTATAAAGAATACCCGATTGTAAATCGAGTGTAGCCTGAAACGAAACGTGTATTTGACCCATGCCGACAAGAAACATTTACGCTTCAACATTCTCAAACCTGCATTTGTGTGGATACAAAAGTACCAGTAGCGTTGCTTCTTGCCAAAACCAGAGCCGATTTGGCCTTAAGCGGACACGTCTGATTTGAGCAGTCAGCAGATTTTCTTAGAGAATGAATCCCTCATACTGACTATATTTGTACTGCAACGTCTAGTGGATTTGTCCTGCCAGAAACTAGTGTCAGCTTACGCTCGGAATTCTTGAACACAAATGCTCATTGGCAGTTCGGAAACTAGACACTGGAACTACTCAGCTCTAACCTCCAAGTTATGGAAGTCTCTCCTACCCATCTGTGTCATGGATACCAACCCAGTGAGATTACTGGTAAACGCTCTGGCCACCACTTCTGTATTGGCCCATAAATTTTAGCCGTCAGAACTCTACATGAGGTGCCTATTAATGACAGATAGCACAGAGTGGATTTGATTAGCGCTGAGTGAAATGTAGAGTTGCACTATATGAATCATAGTTATTTTTCAGACTTTGTGGTCGAAAGACCTTAGCGAAGTTTTTGAGTGCAAATGCACTCTTGCTTTCTTCTAGTGTCACTTCCATAAGTAGTTCACGATCATCCATCTTCTTCAGTTCAGAGGTTAACGGCGCAGCTAAAAAACATGAAAACGATAATAGAAGTGAAGAGGTCGAAAGAAATAGCACAGATTACCGATTTTCTGCGCGTCGACAAACCGTCCAATATCATTCAACAGGCGTACCAGCCTCGCTTGTAATGTTCGCCGTAGGAAGAGACGACTGTTGGCTGTTGCCCAGTCAATGCACTCTTTCACCAAATTCACCTGAAAAACTTTGTTTCACATCCTTCTGGTGTGCCATATGGCTTGCAGGAGAGCACTACACGTTTGAGAACATTGACCTTTTTTCTGAATACTTGAGGAGAAACTGGCGGGCGCTTGACGTTATATTATGTAGATGAAGTGTTTTTGCAAGTTCTTATACAAAAAGTGCTAGTTGTACTTCCGTCATTCGGCCACACTTAACTGATGTCAAATTCAAAGACGCGGCTTTTCAGATGTGGTGCTACAAACTGGTTGACGTATTATATAAATACTGTTAACTATCCAACCACTATACTAAACCAGTTTATCCAAGTCGCTAGAAGAACAGCACTTTCTAAATATTGGTACCAACTGATCTTGCCTATTAGACATGCCACAACCTGGGCGTCTCATCAGAAAGCGTTTGATGGTCCCTGGCTAATCCATAGTGGCCTATTTCAGAAGTGCACAAATATAAAACCGATGATTTGATAGTAGACCTGTTCAGATAAAGGTTTTTCATGTTTATGATGAATGGAGACCTTAGGGAGACCTATTTGTATCATTTCAACATCACCTTGACAAGCGATATTGCAGGATTCAGCTATATTTATGAGAAGATCCACAGAAATTGTGATAACCTTCTCGTTGTTATCCTGGTTGACCATCAGACAACATTCCACGAGCGCACGAACTAATTTACTTGCTTTCGCCCTGCCGAGAACGCCGTAGAATGGACGAGTAACTATGAGAAGTTTCCGTAAATCTAAAGCGTTTCTTTTTGTGATTATTTTTCATATTCTCTGTAAATTCTGGTTTAGATCCGGTGTAGAACAGTTGTTAGAGGTGCTCTGCAATGTGCATAAAATTGTTGGTTCGATCTCACATATCGTGTTAACCAAATCTCCCATCCCGCCTGAATCGAGAAATTGCGCCAGGCTTTTCTTGGGAAATTAGAAACACTTTTTTAAAATGGTATATCGGTAGTTCTCCGCCAGTCATTGTTTAGCCAAAATATCCACTCTCTCACACAGCATTGCATTAAGAGCTTATGATGGAGTGAAATACACATCTTATCCCTAACGGATTGATCTACGCCCGAACAGTTTTTTTCACCAGTTTACACAGCGTTTTAGAGCAGGCTTATCAATTGCTGTAAAATTCGTTATCCAGTAATGTTTCGGGAAAGTCCTTTTCATTTTTTTTTCTCTATCTTTTATTTTTTACTTTTCTTGGTGGTTAGAACTAAATCAAAATCGTAGCATTTTCATTCGCTTCGTTTCCTCACAGCGCTGATCCGCGACAGTCTTCAGCGATTTGTGAGTGAATTTTGGGACAATTTCATGAATGTAGTAGAATATCTGTCTTAAATTATTTGTCCACGGAATCCTAAGATGGCCATGCTGGCGCTTTCTCAAGTCTTTACCATAGTCGGTGGCGGTCATTATTAATGAGACGTGGTTCAGCGGCAGCTCTGACACCAATTTGTCAACTCCTGAGGATGCGGGAAGGGTGGTTCACTGCCTCCTAAGCGACGACGAACCAAAGACCAAAGATTGCGTGAGTTGTTGCATAGCACATTTAACCACTGCATTACAAATCATGATATGCTTATTAACACATGCAAGTTAAGGTAGACGCAGTAACGACATGGATGGGGAAGATGCTAGCAAAAATAGCTCTACTGATAACATCCAGGAAGAAAAATCTTCGTGCCGAAATCAATTAATTTAGCAAGCGCGAAAATTTACTGCTTAGGTTGAACCTCACCTATTATATTTCCCTCACTAGACAACTTTTTTGCGTAGTCTATCAATATCTCTTCGTATTTTTTCAATTCATCTTCAGTATACTGCCGATCGTCCGGTCGCTGAGCCACTGGAGAGGTGTCAATTATCAGACGAGCGATTCGATGCGATACTCTACAGGTACCAAATGTTTGTCTCGCAACAAAGTCCTACCCATCTCCTCAACTCTTCGCATCGTCATCTGTTCCACAGCCATCCTTCTGTGCTGATTGCAAACTATTAAATGAAATTTGCTCTCTGATAAGTCCTACCGGATATTTGTCGGATTTGATACTGATAGCGATAGTGCACCAATTTCACAGCAGCATATTCATAGTTTTATGAAGACTGTAATTGGTTCATTCCTAAGATCTTCGTACATGCATAATGTTCACTATTTGAGGAACTTTACTTGTGTAGGGGTGCGCATTGCGCATTGGTAAAAACGTCGTTCAGCAAAACAAAGTTTTTATGTTCACCCAGGGTTTCGTCTAAGGCCAATGAAGTTTTACATCCCTCCAGTCTGACAATTGATTACAGGCCTATGTGGCAAGAGGCTCTGCTAATTCACAAAGACCGGCGAGTGCGCCTGTGATGAGGACGTAGGATCTCTCCAACTCGACTGTCTTACAAGTCCAATGAAAATATACTCGACCAACATTCAACGGCATTCACGAAGAATACAAACGCGATCTTCAAGCGGTAGGAGAACCCATATGTAAATCCAGAGACTCTCATGGGTGCCAAAAGTGGAGAAACTAATTGAATGAAAAAGTATCCGTACAACTCGTGTTGTTCAATCATACAGAAAAAATATTTAACGGTTTATCGAGTCAAAATAGAGATCGAAGCTCATTTGAAATATTTGAGTTTAGGTCAAGAAGTGAAGCAAAGCATCAAAGAAAAACTGAATTTGGTTGCCTACTGGCCAGGATGATACCTTATTGAAGTCGTTCCAAGTGATCAAAAATGGAAACGGATACGTTCACGAAAGAACTCCTTCTATCACTAATTTTAAATGTATCTCTGTTTCTGAGCTCCACTAATGAAACATTTTACGGTTTTCAAACGATGCATATTAAAGCGACTACATAAGGTTGACATACACTGGTCTTTCAAAAAATAGCGTGGCATTTTCATTTAGAGCACGTTGGTGACCTTCAGAGACCGGCCCACAGCCTTTTCTGCTTGAAATTTGATCGCTCACTCGTGTCCTTGACGAACGGACAATTCTTGATTGTGTGGCCGGCAGTGGGAAGGCCGACCTATATATTCAACGGTTCTTCGTTTTATACCAGAAAAATTTCCGATTTCTGTCATCACATCCAGTTATAGCTTCTATGCTTCTAACTCTCTACTCTGCAAGTGAGTGCGTTAACTTATGAAAGCACAATTGGAGCAAAAGCTGGCTGAGAGGAAAAAGAAAGTTCCTCGGTTGGTGTAGTAGACAGCGAGTCCTCGACAAGGGTAATAGCGCGTTTAAAAGCCATTTTGCCTGAGGTCCAGAGTTTTGCTCGTATCTTGGCATCATTGTTGTTCTATTTCACATAACACACTGCCGTGGAATAAAAATAAACAGTAGATAAAAGGTTAAATATAATATGCATTTGTTTGGTATCGATCTCGTGTATGTTTGTCAATGAAAGCAAAAAAGGCTTCTCTGTGCTCTTTGTTTTCGAAGGTCAGCACACTGAAATGTGTTTTCGTTCCTTTCCACTTGAACTGTAGCGTTCGTGGGGCGATCTATTCCTTAGATTCGCGGAATTGCCAGCGATCAAACGACGTCTGCCAGGCTCACGCAGTTATTTCTTCCATCATTCTTATTCGTACATCGCCTATGTGCTCTTAAGCTTTAAAAACGCTTTCTCATATTTCTTTTAATACAAAGCAAACAAAAATCGTCAAGGCTTGATCGGATTTGCCGCATTTCTTTTTATAAACTGAAAGCCAAAGATTCGAGATCAAATGTTTTCTTACCCTCTTCATGCCCAGATATTATCACATTAGTGTGAGGTGGTGCCTCAGGATATCTTCATGTTAATGTAGTCTAAATATTCGATTATTAGCAAATCGTGGACTTCTTCTGTGGCCTACGATGGTGGTCACGGTGTTCACGTTCTTCGTCCTGAAAATCTACGACTGCTTTTCCATTTCGTTGGCTCAAACTGTCATCACACAATTTGTCACTAAGGTATGATATGATTGGCGCTTTCTTGAAATTTATCTGCGTATTGTCATGCCAACTTCATTATTACCTGTAATATGATGTCACAAAATTAATTAGGTATAGCAGAGAGGAAAGCTTTCTACTGCAGAACCACCTTTACATTATTAAGAAGAAACATTGGCATCAAGAAAAACAACACTAATATTCCCTAACCAGTCTATCTATCGAAAGTTTTCTGTTTCGTCGTGAATTTTTGTCTTATCACCATCATAACTTCGGACATTTGTTTCAACATGAGATGCTAAATACTCCGACGAAAGAGATCCCCCTTAAATCCACCGCAGGTAACTCGAGATTAGCTGCGATCCTAGCAATTACTTTTGTCGCTGGCAGTACTCCAAGAAGTGTTGTGGGCAGATTTTGGCTTTGTTCATTAATTTTCGCATCTCAGAAAAGAAATTGCGAGCACCTCTTACGTCCTCGTATCAGATTTATCTTACGCGTATGGATTTTATAGCAAAATACTGCGATACTACTTTTGTATTCTCGTGTTTTGTTTGTTTAGCGAGTAAGACAAAATTGGAAGGCTTATGTGGCCGAAAATAAATCAGCTTTCCAACTATGACCAAAGATGTTGCCGCTCATAGTAAACTTCATTCCTTGAAGCAGAAACCAATGGGTTCCTCGTGAAGAACTGGAAACTATCAGGGTTGACGTCCTGTACTCTTAGTTTTCTAAAGCCTTAGTAAAATCAACTTTACAGAAATTATGTGCATTCTGGGAGCAATAAGGCAAAATCTTTTCTAATATCTAATAACTAAACAACGGAAATACGAGGTTCTGAACCAGAATATTATTTCTTGTTTAATTTCAATTTTGAAAGTCACACTGTGTAAAAGACGAGAAACGATTACAACACATTCACTATAAAGGATAAAAGATAATGCTCTCGGCGTTGATCAATCCTTGAGGAATGCGCCATGCATTCGACTTCATTATCGTTCGTATCGTTCGATGCGATTGAATGCATATGTGGCCTTTACAATGACTCAAGGTGGCTTACCGATGTATCGATCTAGCGCTGCTATCCTTCCAGACAAGTCTGGTACCAATTTGCCGACCTCGAAAGGATGGAGGGCTTGGTGAGTCGAGAGCGCGGAGGTCGATCCTAAGTGTGCTGCAGGACGCCTCCGACCACTACGCCACACGCGTCCATTCCCTATTTGCCCAGTTCAGTATAAAAGACCAAAATCCGATCAATAGTGCAACGAACTTTAAAAGTCTTTTGACCATCGGGCCATTTCGCCGTTTGTTCCGAAACAGATGTCTACTCGTCATATCAATGAGATTTCGAAGGTGACAATTCGATAGCAATACCGTGCACCTGTTATTCGTTCAGATACTGGAAGTTCTGCGTCAAATGGATTACCATGGACTTTTTTGCATTTATGATCCAGCACTGCATATCACATTTTGCCGTTCCCAGTACTTTTTACATTCAATTCGCTTTTCAGCATCCGTCGTCGATGGATTTTCTTCGTATTTTACATGTTGGTTCGGCTACTGTTTGAGGATTTTTGCTCTTCTTTATGAATGTCGTCGAATGCTGGATGAGTGCTGGAATCTTGAGATAGCCATGTTAGAGCGTTCCCAGGTTTCATGGATCGCAATTGTCCAGTTGATCTCGGGATAGCCTGGTATTGACCCTCCATCCCAAGAGAGATCAGAAGTCTTTTGTGTCCAATACGGTGTCGAACCAAGACCTTGCACCTAGTTAGCAGCATGACTACCATTGCGCTACTTACCATTATGAACTCTAATCGCCAAAAATTTAGTCAATCGTCAACTGAGTAAAAGAGAGTCTTACTTCAATTATCACTTCTAGTTCATATTTTCTCAAGCAACGCTAACAAGGAGAGAAAATGTTTGGCCTTAACCAATCCCCGTTGGCAGGTCTGCTAGGGTTTGCCATACATTCGATTCCATTGAGTGATAAAGCGCAAAATTGGCTCACACAATGAGTTTCGGGGGCGTACCTATGTACGAAGTCAGTGTTTTTTGCTCTCCTACAGAAGTCTGATAGCAATTTGCCCATGTGTCCAGGGCTTGTGGTCGCACGAACGATCAAGTCCCGCACGTAACATCACAGCTCTGAGGAAGGCGAAGTCGCCGAAACGTCAGAAATCGATCAATAACATCAAAAACAACGACAACGACAACGAAGATCTGTACCAACCTCGCGTCAGCTTAAGAAGATCAGTTCATAAGATCACATATATGAATAGATCATGTTCGTGTTTCAAGCCGTCTCTAACCACTGAGCTATCGCCATCGATGCGATAAATACAACCAGACTAACTCAAGTTTTTGACAGCATAAATTGCAAACAGTTTTATTGCTGAGATCCTTGTCTTCTAAAATTTTGTGGTACCAAGCATTTTATAAAGTAGTTGCTAAAGTTAACCAACTTTTTGAAATAACGCTGTTTCTACTTTAGAGTTGATGTCAGAATTTAAGACTTCAAAACCTCGAAGGCTCATTTATATCCAAATGCAGCTCGTTTAATGCTTGCTATAATTGTAGCGGGATTCCTCGTTTCAGGGTGAGTCTCTCGATCCACTTCGGCAGACGCTGTGGTGCCCCACGTTCCAAATCGGAACTCAATGTCCAGGTGGGCTTCTCGACGATGTTAATTTTTTCCTAGTTTGTGGTCTAAGTAATGTAGCCTATACGGCATAATTAATTTGGCACTTTAATTTTAAGCTAATGAACTTCTGATTTTGTTGATTGAAAGAGGAAAAGAGATCCACAGATCTTTATCGAGCGAACTCAAGCTTGTTTATTTTACTACAATGAGTCTTTCAGCTTCCCAATTCCATAAGTCGTTTCTTTTCATCCCAATTTTTCGTCAAAGTTGGCAGCTCGAACAGCGATGCGAATGAATCAGGGGAAATCGTCCGTCAGAACCGGACAGTGTCTTCGTGTAGTGATTGTGTCTCCTCGACGTTCGCAGTTTCCACATTTTTGTTCACAATTTTGGAAATCTGATT